AACTTCTGAAGTCCTTTCACTTACTTATTAAATATCTTAAGGTTATATTTGATCTATTTTGTGCCTGACTTTATGAAATAAAAACTTCCAGTGTGCATTTTCTTTCTGATACCTCAGACAATCAAATGAAAATGTCTCCAAAGAGCCCCAAAAATGTACAAGTTTGGCAAAGACCAACTCATATTTTGGCATTTAATGCTGCAGTGCTGTTGATGCAGTTTTCAAAAGGGTCTAGCATTTGATTGACTGTCTCACTCTGAGATCTGTGGAAAGACTCACATGAACTTCTGAGGGAGAAGAATTAGATTTGAAAAATCTGCATATTGGAGAAAACAGCTGTATCACTCTGCAGATAATGTCACTGGATGAACATACATGGGAAAATGAATTATGTATTATCGCTTTGCTGCATGACCATATTAAAAAGCCTTTTCTATATTAAATTTTATCTTACTGTGTTGGTGACTTGAGAGTACCAGCACTGATCTCAAATTATGGTGTGTGCTTCTTTTACACTGGTAAGCACCCAGTGGGCTCTTTGTGGATTTAAGACATTTTATGCAGTTGGCATCAGCTAATAAACAAACCCCGTTCTTCTGAAGTTGGTCAGTGTTCCCTCATTTGCAATCGCCACTTTTCAATGAGTACAAATCACCTGCCAACTTCAGATTTTATTTGGATTTTAGGTAAGGCATGACTGCTTTCACTACAGCAGTAGATTAAAAGGAAGGATTAGGAGAAGATTCTCACATTTATAGTTGGCATATGAAATTTCACTTTACATTCATTTTTTCATCAGTCAGCATGTGATTCACAGACAGAATCAGAAGGAGTGCAATTTTTTCTGTGTTTTGGATTTTTTTTTTTTTTTGTTCCTGAATGATGACAGCATTTGGCTAAATTCACTTTTTATGGTTAGCTCTGTGACTAGCTGCTTGAGGCAGAAAAGCTGAATAGTCCCAGTGGGAAAGGAAAGAAAAGATATTCATCTATATTTTCATTTATGTTATACTCTGATCTACAGCTTCAGTAAAAATATTTCCTTTACTAGTTCAGTGAAGATTAGAAGCCTTGGTCCATTTTTGGGGGGATAAGACAAATATTATATTGACATTGAGGTAAAACTAATATTAGAGAGGGCTTTTGCAACAGGGAAAATCCAGAGAAGGTCTCTTGCAACTCATCAGCCTCACTTGAATTTTCTGTCTAAAAGTTCTAGTGATTCCAAAATTTCAAATAATGAAACTGCCCTAATCTGTTCTAGAGGAAAGGAGGGGAATCAGGTACGTATACAGTATCTAGAACTCAACCTGAGGTGTGGTTAAAAACTTAAACAGTATCTAGCACTACACTGTCCGTAAAGCTCTATCAAAGCTGAGCCAGAGATAAAATCAATCTCAATTCATAGAATCATAGAATCATAGAATCACAAGGTTGGAAACGATGTGCAAGATCATCTAGTCCAACCATCCTCCCATTCCCACTGCTACCACAAGCACTAAACCGTATCTCGCAGCTCCTCATCCAGGAACTACTTGAACACTGCCAGGGATGGCGACTCCACCACCTCCCTGGGCAGCCATTGCAGTGCCTGACCACTCTGAGAAAAAAAGATTCTAAACAATAAATAATAAATAAATTTTCTAAATTATAAACGATTGTTTTGATTTTACAAGCTTCCTCTTTCCTTTGGGAAAAAAATATAAAAGATTCTATCCCTACTCTGTTTTCTAGTGATAAAACTGTTTGAAATTATTTGAGAAACCAGTTTGTGTATTAAGCACAATATGCATCTTTGGAAACAGGACACTGGGTAAAGGCTAATCCTGGACAGCAGAGACAAGGCCAGGACTGGAATGGGATATGTCTTTGACTCACCACATGCACTGAGACAGTTAATTTTTGCCATGTGAGGCTAACAAGTTGTTGGTTTTTTTTAAGTATTTAGGAAGGAAATTTTTAACAGCTCTGCCATTTTCCTCTTTCACTGTGGTTAACTTTACAGTGTCTCCTCACTCTTTGTACGGCTGCTCTGTTTTCCAAACACTATTCCTTCTATTCAGGGAATGTGAAACTCAGGTTAGCCTTGAAAAAGCAATAAAATACGTATAACACTTGTGTCTCTTGTCTTAAGAAAGAGGATAATGTTCAGTATAAAGCCTGCACTGTTGACTCATGGTGCTGTTGGGGTGGCCTGGATGCATTTTAAGCATGGTCATTTTTCTTTTTGAAGGAGAAAACTATTTTTTTTGAAAGGATGGCTTTGCTGTACTCTTAAGCTGTCAGCTGTGCAGAAAGTCACTGCAACCTTTCCAGACCTGCTTGCCAGCAGGAAAGGAACAAGTTCACTAAGCATGCCAAGTAGTTTGAACCTTGGGAGTGGCAAATCAGTGAAATTCTGGGCATATGCTCAGTGAGAAGCCAACATGAATAATGCATTGTTCTTAATCTGTGAAAGCACTGTGTTCATGCCTGCATGTGCTGTGATAAACCTGCAGCACACATATCTCAAATGTGCACTTGCAGAATGAATGGGAAAGGGTTGCAGATTAGCAAGGGGATTAATAGCTTAGAGAATTCAAATGATTTTGGTCAACAAATAAGCATGGCCTGGGATATTTAGGAAATCCTTCTGCCTGATTCCTCTTCCATTTTCCACATCCAGGGTCACTAAGTCTGCTGAACATACTGAAATACAAAGCTTATAACCTCTACAGAGGAAAAAGCTGGAAGCCAAGATAGGGAGAATCCCCAAGGAGTTATCTTACTTTTTCCTTGTCATTCCTATCAGTCTCTGCACAGACTAGCTCAAGGCTGGGAATCTGGAAAGGACAACTATAGAGACTTGCAACAGGTCTGGTCCTTCACAGAGCTGGGATCTGACAATGTCTTCCATGCACTCAGGCACAGACACTAGCAAACTAATTCTACCTCCACTCTGAACTTCTGGACTGGGGTGAACAATAAATCCATGCCCATTAAGAGTTTCTGATAACTTTAGTATAAGTCTCATATTGTACTCTTACAGGCACTGCCATGTTTCTGATCAGTTCTGATGGCATATTACACCTCTGCTCCCATTTTGTTCACAAATAGGAAATACACAAATTGTACCAAAATGGATAGGGCTTGTGTGGTTACAATTTTGAATTGAATGTCCATGTTTAAAAATAAGCATTAGCTTTCCTATCCAAAATAAAACATGTGAGACAAAAGGTTGAATATTCCAGGAAACATTATATGTATTTTGAATGGAAGTATGTAATAATTTCATGTTACTGTCCTACACACTTAGCTGCATGGATATAGATTTCCCTCTCTCAAACTGTGCAGATCTCCTAGTATTTTCTGGAGTCACAGAGCTATTGGACTGGCTTATGTTGAATGTAAAAAAAAACAAAAAACAAACCACCTAGATTTCCAGCCTTTGAACTTCATCTTCAACTGGTCTTAAACTTCAAAAGATATTGGTTTATGCCCCCCACCAGGAAATACTTGTATTGTGACAGAAATATGAGTATGCCCATAATTTGTCATCTGATTTTTGCAGGCAGAGATCACTGTTTAGAACTTGAAGGTGTGAGGGAGGGTAGGCTTCATTTTGCCAGACACATCTCCTCTTTGTTATGTGTCTTCATCATAACATTTTCATTATAATGTTTTAGTTTGGATGTGAAGTTGTTTTAGATTGTCTCCTCCACCCAGCTCTGATTGTTCCCTTACCAGTAATTTCAGTGTGCATCTTTGCATGAGTACCCATGATTAAATCCAGCTTAATCTTATTTGTTTTCACCTTCTATATGTAACAACCTGTGCAGCTGTCACCTTCTAATCTGTACACTGAGTATTTTAGTTTTGGGTAGATTATAGTATTGCAAGACACTACAGTTAAACCAAATGAATAAAGTAGTCTATTTTGTATGGCACCAATTGCAAGGTAAGAATCAGTACAGAGGGCAGGAAAAGGATGCAGCTTGCTGGGGTTTAACTTTCAAAGCTCTCCATCATAGTCTGTACTGTTCTCATGTTTATATGTCCAAAGTCTAATATGTCAGTTAGGCCTGTAATTTAAATTAGATAAACAGCTGAGAAATAAAGGCTTAGAGAGTTGCCAAGAGCTTAATGGGCTTATAAAGATTTTTAGCAGCATGTAACATTGGCATTGCTTTTCTGCTAAGAAAAAATAAGACGCTCGTTCACTGAAAGCTGGCTGTTAATAATCAAGTTCAGCGTGTATAATTTGGTCCAAAATGTCAGATAGTGCTTCTTTTGTAGCTGTAGATACTAAGTGGCCTAGTTTGCCTGCATATGTACTTTGCACTGAAAAAATGTAATTAAAAAGCAATATATTTCTCACTCTCTCAAATGCTCACACTTTTCATGTATTGCAGGATCGAGAAACAAATAAGCAGGTTTCGAGGATGGTTACCTAGAAAGCCAATGAAACTGGACAAGGAGACACTGCCAGATCTGGAAGAGAATGACTGCTATACTGCTCCTTTCAGCCAACAAAGGATCCACCAGTGAGTACTTTATTGCATCACAAAATCATAACTTAATTACAAGACTAGAACTTTTCCTTCTGGATTCACCTTTGAAAAAAATCAGTTTATTAGTGTGTGCCTTAAACATTAGTGCCTTCAGATTAGTTCTTTGTCACACAAAGGGGGAGATAGAGAGTTCTGAGAGAGCATAAAGTTTGTCTAATAATTAAATGTCCAAATCAAAGCTAAAAGAATTCAATAGAAAAGTTCCTTTTGATTCACTAGAATTTCAATTAAATCCCTAAAGTAGTCAACTGACTAATTCTCTCCTGAGTCAGAACTGCCTTTTTTTGTGTATGTTAAAGATGTGCTTAAAACTTCTTATTCAGCAGTTCTGTTCTTAGTATAATCAATATTAGTTCTTCTAGCACTGATGGTCAAGATAAATGGATACTGCATTTCATTCCTGGTTATGTGTGTAAAAGGACAGTGTCATTTTGTTTGAATTTCTCTCTCTTTAACTTTTACAGAAACAAAACTGGTTGCATAATGCCAGTGTTAAGGTCAGTTACACTAGTCCAAGCATACCAAAGGTATCAATCAGTGTTGCAGCAATGGTACTAGAGATATCATTTGACTAGTAGAAGTTCTTATTCACTTGCAAAATGCAAAGCAGAAGGCTTAGCATTTCTTGCAGACTCCAAGCTGATTTTTTGGGCTAACTTTGGGGAAAGAAGGTGTGATGCAGTTAGTTACTGTTTGTGACGCTGGGAGTGGACATCGGCTACCTGAGTGCAAAGTCTCAAAGAATTGGCAGCGCCCCACCAGGGTACTGACAGAAAACTGAGGTGATACGGAATGAACCACGGGCAGATCAAAGACTTACAGTAAAATAAAGTGTGATTTTATTTGGGGTGAGGACAGGTAGAGTAACTCCTCTTTGAATAAACACTTCATTCAGATTCCTTACTTTGAGTGAAGAGTTTTTCAGGGAGTGGATTTACTTCCTGCAAAACGAGTTAATAAAATGAAAGTCATCTGCTGCAAGTAGTGTCTTTTTGGAAACAGCAGAAAAACAAAACTAGGTGCAAATCTCTGGGGAAATTTCAGTATAATTCTGTTCCTAGCACAAGCTGCCAGTCAGAGTTACCTTCACCAAACATTTGTGTCCTGAACAGATGTCAGATCCAGACTAAAGAGTCTTGTGATATTTGAACAAAAAGGTGGCTCAGTTACTGTGCCCTACAATGTGAAAAGTATATCTTTTTTTAATTATTATTTTTTTTTTCTTTTTTTCCTTTTCTCTCTCTCTCTTTTTATTTTTATTTATTTATTTATTTATTTATTTATTTTGTGACTACACTGGTAGTTTACCTTTTTTTCGATCTAGTCAAGCTTTTATATTCAAGTCTCCAGTGTGATATGGATGATGCTTGAAACGTGATCTAAGTACCGTCTTCATTTCTGATAGGCACTGTTAAAGGCATAGAATGACAGAAAACTGACAACATTTAACATGTGGAGCCAGGCAAAAAAGAAGGACAAAATTCATTATATTTCCTAAGCAATAGGAAATCTCTTCTCGGAGGAAAGAAGTTCTGTCTGGCTGAGACAAGTGTTTTGTTGGGATTTTGTAGAATAGAAAATGATAATTTTCAAGATAGTCTTCTGAGAAGTACCTCACTTCTGCATTCACAAATATTATGAAGGGCTTTATTTACACAAAGCCATTTCTTCTGAAAATTATCAGTTGCAAGAATGCATAATTCACAATATCTGAAAAATGTTTTCCCTCAGACATGATGGTAATTAGTTATTTTTCTACTATGTCTTAGTTATTTTATGTAGTGAGCTGCTAGTTAGCTGGGAATAGTAACACTAGTAATTATCTGCAATTTCTTAGGTAGTGGTATACTAGCTAGGAAAATACTCCTAATTGCTGCTTAGAGATTTCAGACTTCAGGAGCTATTTTCCCCTTCCAAAGGCAACAAACTCTCTGCTTAAATATTAATATACTATATAATTGAATAAAGCCCCTAAAATAATTATTATTTCAGTAAAAATTAGTTTAAAACTTTACACAATTTGGACAGTAGGACAGTACCTGCATTAATTAAAATCAATTAAAAAGTAAAATTAAAATATTTACCAGAGATTCATGCAGTTACTCTCATTTGTACTGAGTCCCCCCCACATACAAGCAAATACTGTCCTGTATTTTTGTCAGGTTTCCAGGATGTTTGTCAGAGTGGAGTTGCATTTTATATTTTCTCTGATGCTCAAATTACCCTTAATAATTGCCATCCTCACCAAGATGATGTGCACCCCTGTCCCGATAGCTGCCTCATGCTGAGATCATGGATGGATCAGAGAGCTGTCACCATTGACAGTAAGGCACAGGAATGCATGAACACTTCCTTGGTTTGAACCAAGATGGTCATTCTTGTGTTTGTACATAGGCCACTCTGAAGTTAATGACCCCTATTTATTTCCACAGAAATTACAACAGATACAAAGAGCACGATACCACTACTTGACAGAGCAAATTCTCAGCTACACAACACTATTTTTCAGCATAGTCACTACCATTAGTTATGCATTTTCACTTGTGATGAACAAGAGCCTGCATGCTGTGCTCATAAAAATCTGCACCACTGAAGGTGACACACTCCTTCACAGCTACTATGATAGCATCATTGCTAAAAAATGTTGCTGATGCAGTCCGTATTTTGTTGGCCCAATCGGATGGAAATCAGAAGGCACCAAATCTGCACTATATAGTGGTGTGACAGGACAGTGCAGCCAACATTGGCAACGTGCTCCACAGTCTTCAAATTTGATGGGCTTCGCATTATCGTGTTGCAAGAGAAAGGTTGTCTTCTTCTCTGGTCTGAAAGTTCAAGCCTTTCTATTTATCTTACTTGCAGCCTTGTAAGTCACATAAAATGAAAACAGAAAGCAATCATCATATGCCTATTTTCAAACAAATAATGTACAGGGATTGTGGTAATATTCTCACTGGAATACTGCAGGTTCATCTTGTTGCTGCTATTACAGCTGTTGACTTTATTTCCTCTGATGTCAAATGAGGTAAAGACCTGCCATTGCCTCAGCCAACAACAGCAAGTTAGCATTAGTGGTTTACTGGCAGTGCAGAAGGGAGGGCATTTTTTCTGTACAAGGGGAATATACTTCTCATATATTAATTCCTATGCTCAAACATTTTTTGTGCTTTGGTTTTCAGTGCTTCCAGAAGAAGGCATTTGCTTGGATCATACATTTTAGTATGTTGAGTGTCAGACACCAAGCATTTCAATGTCAGGGGATCCCACGGAGCAAAAACACACGTTGGTCTGGGCACACATGCTCACGTTGTAGCTTTGTAACTAGGCCATAGGTGTTCAACTTTCAGAACGTCTCACTCGTAGAACACAAAATAACCCTTCCTTGTCTTTTGCTGCTCCAAAATAAACAGAAAAATTAGAGAATTTCTTTTCAAATGGGTATTGGACACAGATTCAAGAGCTAATTCTATTCCTCCTGGGTTTGTACAACGTGTAAAATTGTCAAGAGAATGCATGAACAGGAATCCATTGGCAGTTTGCTCTTTGTTTAATTTACATTTACTTCAGGGCTTTCTCTAAATGACAGTTGGTTTTGTTGTGCTTCATCCATCGAAAGTCAGTTTGAAATCTCCAGTTCAGAATCTAATTAAGAAAGCTAAAAATATAATTTCAAAACAATTAACCTTCGGTGACTTGTCACGTCTCTTACAGTGGGAATGTAAGAGCAGTATTTCCAGAATGACAGTTTTTAAAGGGACTTTAATTAAGGATCAGCTCTGGAACCTTTCCTGGCAGAAGTACTCTCGTTATCTTCATTGGGATTTTATTTCTTTTTTTATAGTTTTTTTGTGTCAGGACAGCTCACACAAATAAGGCTTACAGAAATAGGCTAATGGGTATAACTCTTCTGGAAAAAATCACTGGATTTATTATCTAACTATACATTGCCTTCACAAGGAATAAAAATACCGGTGTATTAATCTTTGCTTATTTTTTGCCTCACAAAAGAGATGACAAAGTGACTAAAACCTTCAACTGAACTTTCTCCTAAACAAAGCCTGAACCTCACTGAACCGGAAAACAATCTGCATCACTCTTATGAATATTCAACCTTTTTGCATAGTGCAATTCTAACAAGAGCAGCAGAAATAGAACAGCTAAGGAAACTATTCCATCTGAAAGCAGCAAGGGTTAAAAAAACTGCATGGAAAGTCTCTGCTTTGTGCACTTTATAGCTCAGTAACACCTGATGGATGTTTATCTGCACCTAATTTGGAAATATCTTCAGCTTTGACCTCTGTGAACTGAAATTTGAAGAGTAAGATTCTCCACAGAATGAAAAAGTCTTTTTATTTGAATTTGGATGCTGTAGATCATGAATGAGCCCCAATCATTAGTCTGTGAGTATGAATTTATCACTCCAAAAGGTGACAACTTGGAGCACAAAAAATTTGAAGGAAGAAAAGCCAAGAAAGTGCAGGTGAGAAGGGTAGTGGTACAAAAGCGTAAATCTTGCAGTGAAGTGCATGATTCTCAACTGACAGAGGCAACCTCTCTGATTTTGGATGAAAATGGTAATCTCCACCAGCATTGTTGTAATTAATGTCACTTGGGATATTTTCATCCTTTTAGTTCCTCCCAGTTATTTCTGCCTGTTTTTATTCCCTGCACCAGTCCCCTTGGCTGTGCTAACACCATTCTTCTGGGGGATGTTCTATAGAAAATTCCACAGAAATAATCAAGATGATAAATGACCAAAGGCAAAACAATCCTTGTTGTTTGTTGTTGTTTTTTTTTTCAAAAATTAAGCGAGCTTGTTGTTTTTGTATTTTTTTTTTTTTAAATACCTTTACAACATAATCTCTGTATCCACATCTGCATGAGTATGCTAGAGAATACATGTTCTTGACCTACTCCAGCTGTGAATTCTCCCTCTTCTCTCCCCTTCCTGTCCCTATATGCATTTTAATAGCACATGGATGGGCAGGGCCAAACTCTGCAGCTCACATATGCCTTAGTTCTGGAATAGGCAGTTTTTCATGGTAGTATTCATAGTGAAGTGTTGACAGCTGCTTCTCAAGCACATCTGCTTGTTCTTTCTTGGCCAAGTGAGATCAGCAGCTACAACACTACAATTGCTAAGTTTATAAATGAGTGCAAATCTCTACAGTGTTCTTTTAATCAAATAGTTCTTATTTCCTTTTAAGATTGAACAGTGTTTGATTTTAGTCTTTTTTCTTTTCACTCATGAAAATAGAAGCAACTAAATGCAGAAAGGCTGTTAAGCTACTTGTCCAGAAAAGTGGTTGAAAGAACTGCTGATGGTTGCAGAATGTCCTAGTCATTATACCAAAAAAGTATTATATCACAAAGAGAATAAATAAATGCTACTGATTTTTACCATTACCTGAATCACTGTTTACATTCCCAATTGAATCCTTCAAGAGCTCATAGATAATGAAAATTACTGTGCTGGTTTGATTTCAAAAGTTACTTTCATTGTTCTTTAACATTCAGTGCTACCTAGGAGGTGAGATCTTGGAGATTAAAGTTGGACATGAACAGAAAATGAAACAGTGGAAAAAATGCTAGCAATTAATTTCTTTTTTAGTACTGTCTTAATTTCTCTCTGTTACTACTGGAACAACCTAGTGCATAAATCTAGCTTTATCTGGATACAATGCTCTTCTATCTGCTTCAGAGATTAGGCTGTTTTTAATCTGATTTCCTTAACATTATGAATTATGCGATAACAGTATTTCCTTTTTTTTCTACCAACTCTTACTTTATGTGCTGGTTACTTTCAACTACATTTAGTACAAGCCTATTTGTCTCAAAGAGAATCAGAGTCTTATTTACTTTGTGAGTACCAGCTGATTGAAATGGGACTGGGGCTCAAATTTGTGCCTATGCCATAAAGGCAGTCAGCGTACACCAAGTATATATGCTGTTTGGTACCAGCCCAGTTGTAAATGATCACACACACTGCAGTCAGCTGATATGCAGAAATGACAGCAGGCTCTCTGGGGCACATGTAGGACTTTGGGAGATGGGATAAAGCCAGATTCATACTACTGGATAAATGGTAGACACAGAAATGACCTGTGAGTATCTGAGATAGAGTGGGAAAGGTGTTGTTTCTAGAAAACCGAGTTTTATTAATTGTGCTGCTCTCAGAGGAATTTGTATTTTGTATCTTTACTTTTGGAATTTTTTTGCTGTGTGCCTTTGAAACTGAACATTACAGGTTGTCTTGTATGGAAAGTTCAGTAGTGATTTTTGGATAAAAAGGAAGGAGCGCCTGGAGTCCATAAAGTGCAGGGCTTGGACTCCTTGCCTGGCTTTCCAAATGAATGTAGAGATGCAGAGCCATATAGCATTTCCTATTTGCTCTAAAGAAGAGGGTTTTCATTTGGGAAAATTACCTGAGGGGAAAACGGAGTAGTAAATCCCATATAACATGGAAGAGAAGGTGATGTAGATACATGCCAAGCTCTCTATTAAGATTTTTTCATTTCACACTAGATTTACTTAGCATATGCTCTGGCCTCTTTATGAAATCTCTGATTTTACCTTTTTATTTATCAGTTTATTCAGTTCCCCGGAGCTTTTCACTGACACAAAAGAAAACAAACTTACATCCTATCCTAAGTTGTTTTTGTTGTTTTTTTTTTTCAAAGATGAACCCTTCCATTCAATCAGTTACTAAGGGCCATAATTATAAAAATATTTAATTTCCTCAAATATATGCACAAGCATATTTCATCAGAAACTCCAACTCTCCGCTTATTCAAGTGTCTAAATGACTTTCACAGTCTATTCTGAAGCCTTTACGTAACTCAACTGGGAAGGCTGGTGGCCTTGCCTGTAGCAGGGGGTTGGAGAGTCATGATCCTTGAGATCCCTTCCTACCTGCGCCATTCTGTGATTCTGTGAAGTTAAGCTGGTATTTCTAAGCGGAGATTCTGGCATTAAATATTTCCAGTGATATGATGACATGCTAAAATATCTTGTTTTCCTCAAATATGTATGTTGTGGCTAATAAATCTATATAAAACATACAGTGCCAGAAAATCTAACCAATTCAAGGAATTTTGGGGGTATTTTTTTTTTCAATTTCCCAGACCCTTCACAATTCTGTCTAAACTATTGAACCTGCATTAATGTGTAACTCAATGAGTAGCTTCTGCAAGCTAGTTTTAAGAGTCATTTTTTGCCATGTGACTGCTTTCATCTGACTCTTAATGGTAAAGCATAATAAAGAAGTCAGAAATAGAAAGATGAAATGTGAATCTCTACAGCTGCACTTACAAATCTTACTCTTTTGCAAATTTTTATGCAACTATTTTCTAGTTCTCAGTGAATCTATCTAAATGTAATGCTTATCATAATGAATGCTTAGATATCATTGGTCTTTCTCCAGACTTCTCCAAGCCATTCTCTGCTAGGGAATGAATACAGTTACTGCGATCATCTCATCCGGTGAATCATCTCAGTTAATCTGATGTCCTTTAATCTTCCTTACACTTGCTCACATAGATTTTAAACATGCTACTGAAAACAGTGGAACTTAGTATTGCTTTAAATGTGCTACTACATATTCCTAAGACGGCCTCGTTTGTGTTTTTATATAGCTTCATCATACACAACAAAGAGACTTTCTTCAATAACGCTACAAGAAGTAGAATTGTACACCATATCTTACAAAGAGTGAAATATGAAGAAGGGAAAAACAAAATTGGTAAGTACTTTTAATGTGGATGATAAATCCTATCAGAAAAATAAGTATCAGTCTGGCTCTTTTGCTTTGTTTATAATGACATTTTTAGAATGGTGCACATCTCACCCATTGCTAGGTGGCAGGGAATTTTCCTAGAACGAGCTGACCATTTCACTAGAATGATGGGCTGCTTCCCCAGGCATTTGTGTCCCCCATGAGATTTATTACCTCAACGAGGAAAGAACCTGACTCAAAGGAACCTTTTCTGCAGAAAACCTTTTACTCTTTCAAAGACACACATACTGGAAAGAAAGCAAAAATTTGTGCTGCTGTCCATCCCGGCCAGTAGGGCATCTCCGTGGATATCTGTTCCTCCAAAAGGGAGAAGTGAGATCCTGTAGCTCTGTAGCTGCCTCAGGTCAAAAGGGAGGGATGAAGGAAGTCTTTGAGCAATGACAGTGAGAGAAAAAGAGAGAAGAAAGGGGAGAATTCCTGTGGTGAGTGTAGTGCACACACCCACAGTGAAATCCCTGCCTGCCTCCCAGATTCCCTCACATATCTGCTTGTGCGGTACCTACATGAACTAAACCTTGAACAGATCAGTGGGCTGAATAGAGCCCAGCTCAGCTGTATGTTTTGCTTTTCTGCCAAAGACACTTCAGGAGAAAAAATATTCTGCCAAGCAGATATTAATGCTATCACTGAACATGTTATTTGTGTTGAATTATTAATTCTCATTGTTGTGTTCTCACTGCTATCATTCCCTATGAATCAGAGATGGAATTGGGATTCTTTTCCTTTGCATCAATGGGGCTCAAATACCTCCAGGCTGTTAGTGCCAGGATTTAGTTTTAAATTGTGTTATAGTTGTTCAGTCCTATCTGAATGACTTTCCAAGTGAAAAGTGCCCACCTCTCAGTAGTCCTTCATTATTTCTGTTCTAGTTCTCATTGAGGAGGGACAAAGCCAAACTGAACGGTATTTATTACCACACTTTTGTGCCAGAGAGCAATTGTTTTGTTCAGGTACAAGCATATTCCCTATTCTTCTATTACTTGAGCCCATCATGTTCCTGTTCTATCTGTTTGTCCAAGGGCCTTTCATAAGACATAAATGGAGCATATTTTACAGCATATAGGAATTAAGCATTTACGGCATATAGGAATTAAGCATTTATGTTGTTGTACTGGCTTGCAGTTAAAAAAAGTAAAGATCCTCCCTGAAGTGTTCCACTCCCAGGAAATCCAGCCCTTTGTTTGCACAGCTTGCTTAGAACAAAGCATATGATACCAAACTTTTATCTTCCTATGAGGTCCTAGACTCCACTGAAGTTGGACGAAAGATGGATTTGGCAAATGAGTCTTTAAACCTCAGGCATAATAAATTATAGATTTTGCTTGATATTTGAACAAATCTTTTCTTGTGTTATATCCTAGGTCATCAAAACCTATAAAAGATGAATTTTTCTGCTTGATTCTTACTATCAATAGTCTTCAAACTTCATTTAGCTGTGTATCCTGAAACTGTTCTTTGCTTTACACTTAGCAGTTTTTCTGGTCCTACTGTTAAATAATTCGATACTTTTGGTTTTTAGGTCTGAATCGATTGCTCAGTAATGGCTCCTATGAAGCTGCATTTCCTCTTCATGAGGTATTCTCTCTTTTTCTTTTTTGAAGAAACACTTCCCATGACACGAATCTTTAACTGTGCAAAAATTCTCAATCTTACTAACATTATTTTATCATTGTCCTTTGGATTCCACAGCTGCCTCTGACATCTTTCCATTTAGTAGTGATTTAAAAAAAAAAGCCTTTTTTATTGCAAACCGAAAGGAGTAGAGAGAGTTGTTCTAGATTTGTTCTGTAAAACTATTTGAATGTGATAAATCAGTATGTTGGCAAAGGGAAAAAATAGCATGTGGTTTTCTCTTTGAGATTCTCCAGTTTTTAGCCTTTGACTTGAACACCAGTTATCGTATTTCTTAAGAAGTACAACCTCAAGTCTCATTGCATACAAAGGAAATTTTCTTTTTAAAATAATTTTTAGATTGTGACTCACAAGTATGGAGATTGCATAAAATTGTATTATGCATACCAGGAATGAGAGAGCTTTCTTATCTATTCTTTTGCTGTTGTTATTCATCAATATCCCAATTTGTATTTTAGGGAAGCTACAGAAGTAAGAATTCAATAAAAACCCATGGGGCAGAAAATCACAGACACCTGCTCTACGAGTGCTGGGCTTCCTGGGGAGTCTGGTATAAATACCAACCACTGGATCTAGTGAGGTAAGACTTTCATGCTTTTAATATGCTTCAGTCTAGGTGGTATGAACATAGATTATCTTTCTTCTCTCAAAACCACAAAATACTCAGTAAATTCATGTGGTTTTTAGAAACTGATCTAGAGATCAGGGGAATCCATTTCATTCAGGGTACAACTACATTGAAAGAGGTATTTATAAAGAGGTTTGTAGGAGGCTCTGAATGTGAAGGGAGCGTCGTTATAGAGGTTTCTGACACCGGAGCTTCTCATGAAGGAGTTGCAGAATATTTAAGAGAGAAAAAAGAGAGTAGAGCCTAGGGAGACATGATTGCATGGATGCCTACCGAAGGAGCTACTTTTCCTCAAAGCATGGCTTTGATAAAAAGCCTCTCATTGATTAGCTCTTCTTATTTTTGTCCGAAGAACAACCACAGAAGAAGCTCCAATTGAAGTTCAGTGATACTCACAGGCAGTATAGAGATAAAGCTCACACACATCGTGTGCTACTATGTTTGACAACACTGATGATGACTGCAAGTTTGTTGTTACTCCTCTACTGCCTCTTGCCACTGCTGCATCACTACAGTCTAAGTTTATTTTCATCTTGGAAGTAGCCTGCAAAGATGAAACACTGAGAAAGCTGAGACGTGACTTCAAATTTTTACAGCTCTTTTAAGCCAGGTTTCCAAATAGGCTTGCATGCACTAATAGAGGATTACATAGTTTTTATGCACATACAGCATTTGCTGATCACCATGGCATAACTATTGCTGGGCACTGGTGGGCTTTTTCTGCTTGAAAAGGCAAGTGTGAAGCTGCAGAAGCCTGTGAACAGTCTTAAAGTGTACTGGGATGACTGAAGATACTGTTATGCATGCAGTTATCTTCTCCTCTAATAAGTCCTGTAACTGATAGAAACGCTTGTTTTTTATTGATTCTCAAAATTACTTCTGGATAGAAATATTCACAAAGGAATATTTCTGGAGTCAGAAGATGTTATTCTTTAAGGCCATATAAAACCCATCCATTGCACAAAACAGGAGATGTTCAATTTCCATGGAGAACAATTCAAAGAGAAATACAATAAAATAATTTTACTGAGTCATTTTTTAAAAAATGCTTTAGAAAATAAAGTAATGCATTTGTACCTCATTATTTAATTCTGAGAGCTTCCTAATTCTTCTTCCTGGACAGAAATAGAGAAATTTTGTCAAAATATGGAAATTACTAACTTGCTGAGGAGTCAGCAGTTACAGTGAAGGGGTTTGTTGTTGATGCTGTTGTTTTAATTTCCAGTTATACAGTATCAGTGTCACAATATAAACAACTTATCTTTATAATTTCCATTTAAATAATTTGCCCACAGTGGTCGGGTCCATTGTTCTTCATCATTTCTTGTTTGTGAAAGTGCTGCAAAGCAATAGCAAGGTCTTAGCTAAACTTTTTTTGTGATCCTCAGGCAACTGGAAGACTTCTTAAGTATAAAAATAAACAATTGTACAGGACCTTGGAAGAAGCCTGCTAATTGAGTCTGGGTGTGACCTCTTACATTCTGTACAAACCTTTAGCTTTTCATCAGACAGTGCAAAGAATTTTCCACAACTATTTTGCAAGAGAAAATAAGCAAAGTAGCAGATCCCTTAGCTGAGGTCATGAGTGACATGTGGTGGTTCAGAACAGGTGTCTATCCAAGGAAGAGAGTGGGAGAGAGAGTTACAAGACTACCTGAGTGTTCACAGCAGCATAAGTCTCCATAGCTTCAAGCTCAGCAGGGATGAAAGCTGCCGCTCAAACCCAGCCTTGCCATTAGCTTCCTGGAGCACAACATTGGTGGCTATGAATGCACAAAAGGAGGGGTTATAGGAAAGGGGTGGAATGCCTTCTTCTTCTCACTTCATGAATGTTAGATCCCTCACATTTCCCTGGTTCCTGCCAAATCTTTTCTATCTACTGCCGATTGCAGGAGCTCACATGTCTAGTGAGCTGGAGATTTTGTTTGCAGAGCTGACTCTGCCAAATGTTCATTTCCCTTGGAAGTATCTCAGCAAGCATACATTAAACAAAAGCTTTTATTTTACCAGCTCTGCAGCAGGAGCAACTTCTTTGTTCTTTTTCCCAGAACAACAGTTGTGTGGGCTGTGCTTGAAGGGAGTAGTATTGCCATCTGTACAAAAGGAGTGGATGGATGTTAATTCTTCCACAGACATCTGGCCACATCTCACTGCTGCTAGCTGATGTTTCCCTTTAATATATGCTTTAGAAAAGCTAAGGAGTAAATTAGGTGAACATAACAAAATCATACTTTTATTAATGGATATGGTGTTTCTACCTTAAAGTCAAGTTACCACAATGGTAAATGAAACCATCCATACGTTGATGCTGTTTTGTTTTTCCTTAGCTGGTAAAAACAAACCTTATGTCTCTGGTGTTGTTAATCTGATGCCTTCCAGATTTCATTTAATCTCATCATCTGGCTGTTATTAGAGATACTAGTCACCAGAAATAAATGAGAAAAAGTCATTTGAGGGGAACTGCATGATTCTGCTTTCACTCTGCTTTGAAACACACCAGTATGAAGGTAGAGACTTGACACAATCACAGAGACATAATTATGAAACACCAAAGGTGGTACCATGATTTTAATTACACTCCTGTTGGAATTTTTCATCCATAGTTACTTAACAGGAATAACTTAAGATCCTTAGAACGTGCTTGGAAAAAGGCAGGACTTTCTATACTTATATGCCTGGGGATTACATAAATCAATGGAAACTGTTGCAGTAACTTCTGTAAGTTTTGGATCATCTCCTTCACACTTTTGTGCATAGATCTTTGCCTGACATTGTCCATAAATGATTCCTGCTGCTGCTTGTGCATTTCATTTACAGGACAAGAAAGGGTGGGAGAAAGCTATATTTATAAGCAATTGTTAAGATACCTAAATGAACCTGGAAGCAAACATAATGCCTTTGTTACAAGCTGACAGCTTCCTTGAAATGCTCTATTAAGCCTTCTTCCCCGCCACCTTGCTCTTGGCGTAACAGAAATAATTACATGTCCAAAAAATCTGTTAGATAGTTCTAGCTCCTTCACAACTTCTTTCAGTGGTTTAAAAAGTTCTGTACAGGATTTAATTCTGACCAGCAAAAAGCAATAATGAAGATAGATATGTTCTTGGCTTAAGTACAGATTTAAATATATTCTAGCTCCATTACTTCCTTCTAGGCATCTTGAAAACAAAAAAATATCATAGAATTACAGAATCATAGAATAATAGAATGGGTTGGGTTGGGAAGTATCTCAAGGATCATAAAGTTTCCCCCCCCCAGTCTGCCACAGGCAAGATTGCCAACTGCTATAATATATAATGAAGGTCAATAAACATAACATTTTATGGGTTTGAAATTAGACTTTGTTACTTCAAAATGTACATTATCATTAAATACAGAGATTGGAATTTTGGCCCTTTTGAAGTCAGTGGTATTGGAATGGAGTAAGGGGAGAAACAGTTAAACATTAAGGAAGATTGTGTTGATGAGTTAATACACTTGTCAGCATAAAACTGAGACTAAGATTTCTTACTTTTTTTTTTTTTTTTTTTTTTTTAGTTCTGGTGATATAGTTTATATAAGGGTAGAGAGATGGGTTATTGGGGATTTTGGGTTTCTCTGCTTTTGAGAATTTTATATGGAGGAAATTTGCTGTGGGAGAGCTACAAAAGGTACACAGCTGTTTTTTTTCTGTTATGACTGACTGCCTGAGAATGTTATGGAAATTAACAAAAATTAACAAACATGCAAATATCATCAAGCCTGGAAAAAAGAGGTCTACAATGAGTAGAGTGATAATAGGTGAAATTCAGGTACAACTAATGCACTCTGGAAAAAAATCCCCTGACATCTTTACATATATAACTGAGTTTTAGGTAAAGTGCCAGCACACGGGTAATAGAACTGACTTCACTGTGGACAGTTCTATGAAATTTCTCTTCTGTAAACAGAAAACAGACAAGAAGCAAAGAGCTTGTTCATTTTATGTGGTATGACCTTAGTGGCAAAGGAATCTCTGAGCCATCTATTTCTCCTGGGAATGGTGAGTGTCCAGTTGAACGCAGTTACTGGTGGGAATAAACGTGGAAATGGGAATGCAGTACCCAGGCAGGTCTCCAAAGACCGTGTCGTTATCATGATTTATTTCTACAGCTTAAGTGCAGTAGAAATATACTAATGGAAATATGCTAACTACAGGGCCATAGGAAATGAATATTAACTTTATCCTGATGCTACTTGCAGTAGCACAACCTGTTGGAAATCTGCTGTGAAGCAAAGGGGGATAGTAGAAGACTAATGCTGTTCGTCCATATTTAAGCCTACAGGTACCAAAGTAGTGTCAACATACAGCACTTATTTTTAAAACCAGGCTCAGAGGTGGTCCCAGCTGCCTTTTCCTTCCACTGAAGATATTTGGGTCACTCCCTATTGTGCATATGCACACACGGAAACTTGTTTGGGTCTTCTTCTTAGATCTAGCTGCTTGCTTGATCTCTAGATCATGAGAAAGAATTATATTTTGTGTTCCATCCTGTTAGATAGAAAGGCTCAACAGGAAAGAAAAAAAGTTTATCAGAAACATTTTTCAAAATGTCATGTGGAATGGGGAAGCATGCATTCCTGGATACAGGGAATCATTCAAAAAGATAAATCTTAATTAATACTAAGTTTAATTCTCTACTTTGATTTTTGTACATGGAGAAAAACAGGACCATAAATATTCAATTGAAGTAAGCTCAAAATGTGAACTTTCTATTTCAGTGGAACAGGCTTAGCTTGACATCCTGTGTGTCAACCAAATAATTAGGACGAAGAGTTCACTAACACTGCTAAGTCAAGGCTCAAAATGCACTGTGTCTTTTCACAGCCAGACCTGCTGCCCTTGTCAGAACTGAGTGTGTTATTGTTAGCTTACCACCTCTTTAGCCTGTAAATTTGAGTCTGTCAAATGACAGAAGAATAGAAATATGACAATATTTGGCTTCTCACAGAGTGCTGGTAAACTCAAGTGATAATAAATAGCATAGATCAGTCTTGTGCCCTTCAACCAGTGAAGCATGAGCTCAGCTCATGACTTCACCAGAAATAGAAAACTCCACTATTTTCTGTTCACTGTGCCCAAGACAACTCCTGACCTCCACATCGCCCATCTATGTTTGTGGACAGTAGGTCTACTGGAGCCTCCCCCGGAGAGCCTGGTAGACTCTCTTACTATCTGAATCAATAAGTTGTCATCTTCCACACCTCCTAGACTGCTTCTTCTGCCCTGCATTGTATTTCCAGTATACATCAGGGAAGTTGAAGTCCTGCATGAGAGAAAGGGCTGTTGATTGCACAACTTCTGCTAGCTGCTCATAGAACACCATTTCTGTCTCTTTATCTTGGTTAGGTGGTCTATAACAGATCCCCACTAGGATGTCTGCCTTGTTGGCTCACCCCCTGATCCTTACCCATAGAGTTTCAACTTTATAATTCCCATTCCAGTTTGAAGACTGACATTTTGTTTATTGCTGACCAAATGTTTCTTTCTCTTCCTCACTGCTTCCAGCCCCGGAGCACATCATACGGCTCTTCCTGACTGTGAAAATTTGACAAAAAAAAATATTTTATGATAGCATAAAGGAGCCAGCAAAGCTGGCTCACTGCACTCTTTGTTTCTGGACAGATCAGAAGTTTCATCATTAGTATAAATACGGGTTTTCATCAGCAGCTGTTTTCAAATTCACTTGACATGCACATTTAAACTGGCTTCAAAGTCTCTGAAGGGCAAGGAAATCATCTTGCCTCATTCTTTAAAACTGTTCTTGCAAAGAATCTCTTAAAATTTTCATTGTAATTGTGGTAATTGCATATGGATTGGTAAAGTATTCCCATCTGATCATCAGCCTACTGTGCACAATACCAAAATAAAGAATAATGCACATAGATTGCTCCTGTGCTGATAAGTCCTGCGGGTTTTTTGTTTGCTTGATGTATGCATTGATATATAAGCAAAAGTGGGAGTGCATTTGGAAATATGAAAAATGCTAATGAATATGTAGCAAATAAGAAGATCTTCACCACTTTGCAGTTAGTATTTTAACAATATAGCTAATATATTAGGATTGATTCAGATTTTTTTTTCCAGACCTCACTCACAATTTTCTCTCCACTCCAACAGAATCATGTGATTATTTTTCCAGGAACTGAGGTAATAAAAGAAAGAAAGAAGTGAAGATAAACTTGATTGGAGAATAACCTTTCACTGACTGATTTCTTAGAAGTAATTTGGGCTTGTATCATTTTTCTGTTATATCAATTTTAGTGGTGAAAATGATTTCAGTGCAGTTACTTGGGAAGTACAATACACAGCTGAAGCAAACAAAGCCACCAGTTTCCCAAATATAAAGAACAAGCTTTTAAAAAGAACTCTATTTCTTCTCTTGAGTTCTCTGCTAATCTTATTATAAACACTGGTTTGTGAATTTTCAGATTTATTTTTGAAATGCGCAGGTTTTTCAGTGTGGAGTGTTTGTCTTAATTGCAGACTTTCTTTTCTGGCCTTGCTCTTTAATCTGTTCCTCAGATATGATAGAAATATTTATTTTCTATTAACAGGCATGATTAAGCAGGTTTATTCTAATTAGCAGGAAATTTCTCTTTGTTGTATTTTAAAACAGACGATACTTTGGTGAGAAAATCGGGCTGTACTTTGCCTGGTTAGGCTGGTACACAGGGATGCTCTTCCCAGCTGCCTTCATTGGATTGTTTGTCTTTTTGTATGGAGTCACTACTTTGAACCACTGCCAAGTCAGGTAATGTGGATACTTTTATAAGGTAAATTATAGCTGTGGGATATTATGATTAATCTAAGAGCTCTTTATAAGTATTACTAATTATTTCATTTGGGATGGTTGGCTAAATACACAGGAAAGTACTCCTTGGTTCTCATAAAATACCCAATATTGAACTTCCTTTGTATTGTGTTCCTGAAATGGGATGGGAGGTAATGTTTCTCACCCAGCTCCAGTTCCCGATGGTGCTGGCCACTCAGCTTGAAGTACGAAAAATAGGGCTTGTGCTCCTTCATTATTGTCATAACAAGCCAATAGAAGAGTGGGAATTTTTCTCACTCTTCCAGGACTTTTCCAAAGGCACACCTCAGGGAAGCATTTTTCAAATGAAGAACCCCTTCACTGCTCTGCTGAGTTCCACATCCCTGTATTCTTGCACACTTAAGACAATCCTTGAGAGAAGTCACAAGAATGAGTCAAACTTACCCACACTTATTCTTACCCTTCTCCAACTGAAGGCCACTTCTGTCTCAAGGAAAACGTGGAAATGGTAAAGAACTATTGCTAGGTTGGCCTTGAGGAACTGTTCATTGCAAATAGGACTACAAATGTTGAAGTCTTCAACGGTCAACAAACCGTAATTATATACATACAGTTAAGTACATCTTGGCTTCAGCTATAGGAAGAACCAGTATTTTTCAATAAGTAACTGACTTTTATTAGCAAAACATGTCAATCCATTTTACGGCTGATTGCTGTGGTTCAAACTACTAATGTTTATCTATTTTATTTTTCAGTAAAGAAGTCTGCCAAGCTACAGATATCATAATGTGTCCTATATGTGATAAATACTGTCCTTTCATGAGGCTGTCAGACAGCTGCGTTTATGCCAAGGTACCTTTTAAACTACGCAAATAAAATGCTTCTCTTGTAACAGAATTCCTTTCACGTTTTGCAATTGTCTTTAGTGAGCTTGGATAGATAAAATCTTCAAAAGGATAGATCAAATTCAGCCAATGTTAACATCTATTGTATTTTACAAGGACTCATTTTGGGCTATAAAACACCTGGATGCCATTTGCACTTACAGATTCAGCAGTACCCGAGGTCACATCCTACATGCATGTGCTACAGTGCCCTTGGCATCAGGTTTTATCTTATGATCCATCCTTAGTATATGGCTCCATAAAATGAATGCTTTGAGTCTGAAATTAGGCACACGGTTACTGTTGGCAGGGGCTATTTGCACGGTTACTATTTGCAGCCTAGGCTAGAGACTAGTGAGTCAATGTGGAATGCTTTGTAAGGTGCATGTCACACATCAAGGGAAGAGTTTCAATCCTCAGGATTGTCAGGCCCTGCACTCATGACAGTGCTAATTATATTAGGGAAAAATAGAAAATACGTAAGTGAGAGATACTGACACAACTGCAACATTGTTATGAAGAGAATGGAAAGCAAAAAGTACAAAAAATGCAAAATTAAATCTGTATTATCATAAATTGATTGGACTGTTGATATCCCCATCAGGTAACACACCTTTTTGACAATGGAGCTACTGTCTTTTTTGCTGTTTTCATGGCAGTGTGGGGTAAGTTCTTGTTTTAATATGAATGATTGCAGAATGTTTTTCTTAAATCTTGTGATGAAACATAGGTCATTTTCATTTCCAGCACGCTTTTTTTGGACACTGAGAAGAACAATATAGGCTTGATTCTTTTCTGTTTCTGCAAAATGAAAATGTTGAAATCAGTAGGGTTTTTTGTTTTTTGTTTTTTTTTAACAGGATATTATTTTAATGTAAAAAAAAAATGCAGTATGCAGTGTCTATGTAGGTAGCTGTATTCTGGTTTTATGTGTGGGGATTTTTTTGTATCAGAACCAAGGCCTATTCTCTGTTAATTCATATGGATTCTCTTAGCTTAGGGAAGCCCCATTTACTCTTTGCCCTAATATGAATTAGTATATTGTTCTTTTATGCAAAAAGCAGCAAAAAATAGATACACATGAGCTGGTGTAATTAAAGCAAAACCCTGATGAAATAAATTTAGGATATATTTGAATGAATAATTGATCCAAGAGTGGTCTAATTTTTGCCATAGAAGCTGAATTTTACCCATAGGACAACTCCATTTCCGGCTCAACTGCCTTTTCTACTCTGGTCTTATAAGCAAAGTTGAAGACAACATGAAACAGTCATTTCTGGCAAAACATAAAGTCTTCCAAACCTGTCCTGCATATGCCAATGTTCTTTGCCTTCAGATAGTGCCTTTAAATACTGGCTTAATGAGGTGCCTCAGAAATGGCTTCCATCTTATAACTCCAGATGATTGAGCTATCCTGACTTAGTTGTTGTTTTCTGCTTCTTACTCACATCTCAAACTGCTTGGGAAAAGTATCCAAGTAATTCTTATATTCTACATTTTAATCTGTGGATCTTTTTACTGAACTGCAAGAGCAATCCAGAAGACAGTGTCAGAGCCATAAGGAGAACATAGATTAGCTTAGTTGACTGTCTTGATTCCTGCCTCCAAAGCTATGTTTTTATCTTAATTGACTTAATAAATTAGGTCATATTCTAATGAAGCCTATTCATGACATTTCATTTAATAGTGATAGTATTAAAGTACCTTAAGTTATATTAAGGGAAAGCTCCACAGATAGGGAAATGAGCATATGCTGGAACAGCTACATTTGTCATGATGAAGAATTTGAAGAGCAGAAGATTCCATTTTAAAGCTTACAAAACATTATTAGCTTCAGTAATCACAGGATCACAGAATCGTAGGGATTGGAAGGGACCTCTGGGGAGATACACCACTGATTCTAGTTGTTGGTGAGCATGTCTTTGGACTGAAGTTTTTTGCACCACTGTTTTTGTTCTTCCTTAGCATCCATCTTCAGCACCACAGGGAAGAAAGTAAAAAATACAATGAAAGCTATCCTCTATTTTTGGCTAGTGGAGAAGAGGCTGTAGGACAGTGGCTGGGGTAGGTAATTTCTTCCCTGCTTCTGCTGGCTTACGCTGTGCTTGGTGCTTGCCACCAAGACCAGATATAGAGGCAGGAACAGCAGGTGGATGTGAGTACAAGGTGATGGTTTGGGGAATGAGCCAATGCTATGGCTCTACCAAAACTATAGTTTCTAAAATAATGCTTTACTGAGACAAGAGTGAGATAGTGGAGATATTCTCAATACATTAGGGTTAAGGCAGCATTAGGACGAGAAAAGCCACACTTCTCAGTGACTCTCTAGTGCTACACTTATGAGATGGCTTACCTTGTTCCTTAAAAGGATTTTCAGTCTGCAGTAGGACTACTGACAGCTACAGGCATTACCATCATTTCAGTAAATCATAGAGGAGAATAGACAATGATAGCACTTTCATTGTAGAAATGTTTTATTTTTTTTTCTGTCAGCATGAAACAACTGGCGAGTGGGTAAAAAAAATGGATGTGAAAAGTTTAGCTTTCCAGATGACCCAGTTTGGCAGATAAGTAACATAAAAAGATAATGATGGCAGTAAAGAAAAAAAAAAAAAAAAAAAAAAAAAAAGAGAATGAAAGCTAAAAAGCAACTAGGATTATATATCTAATTATTCTGGGATTAGCCACTGCTTTATAATCCTAAGAACCTTTGTCACTGTCTTTAGATCCATTAAGGACCTTGTATTCTGAGGGAGAAGACTCAGACATTTGTTTTGGGTTTTGGGAAGCCTCATGGTCAAGTTAGGATTGAGGTGGTATTAATGGTGGTTTCTTTCTTTTACTCTGAGGACAACTTCTTGATGGAGAAAGTGGGCTTCTTACTTGCTTTTTAAATAGAAACAAAATGCTTCTCCAAATGATAAGGAAACTGCTGTGGCCAGGCTAGGGAGATAAATCATCACCACAGATATCAGTGTGGGCTGCTTGATTAGTGGAGGAACGATGATCATGGCTGTAGTACTCTGAAGCACAGGTACCCATCTTTTATAATGCTTCATTGTGGGGTAAGTGGGTCCAGCCAAACTAAGGCTGGGATATTCAAGTGAACGAGGCAATACTGGAAGAGAAATACACTTTTCTTCAAAAAATATTTTGACTCATCACTTCACTTACTGTATTTCTGCCTTTTTAAAGCAAAGTTCTATATAAGAAGTGAAAGTAAATCGTATGGTAGGGAAAAACATGATACCTCTAAAGTTTACCCAAAAGAATTAAGGTAATTCATTTTAAACTGATGGAGCAAAGGACAAAAGATTCCACTGAAGGATTTTGCTGGTTGTTTTTTTTGAGCTTTTGTGTATTGGAACTTCTGTTGAAAGAAATGATCCAAAATGATCAAAGCTATAAATCTCTGCTGTTTATAGGAAACCATAAGTCCCTATAAACACTAATGCATTTTTTTTTCCTGGTGGACAGGTTAATCATTTATACTCAGAGTTTCATCTCAGAAATTTGAAAGTAATTTTTCCTTTTGAGAGTCACTGGTCTTGATAAAGTTTTCCAAATGTTCAAAACTTTCAGAAAGAGATATCAATAGCATTTTTTGTGTCTCTGTGCTAGAGGTAAATGCTTTGCCCTTTATGTGTGCCTGAAGATATGTCAAGCTTGACAAAAGTGTAGATCCAGTTTCTAGAAAATACTCATTCTCTATTTTAATCAGTTGAACTGGATTCTTACCAAAGACAGAATATGTAAGAAAAATATTCATACCAAGTAAGCATCACTTAGAGAGAATTCCCAGAATCACAGAATCTTTTGAGTTGGACACATTCCAACAGGTTTGTGTCTCTCCTGTGCTGAGGACTCCACATTTGGATGCAGTACTCCGATGACATATTACCAGTGCAGAGCAGAGGGGCAGGATCACCTGCTACTCCGTGCTGATCACATTTCTTTTGATGCAGCCCAGGGTACAGATGGCTTTCTGGGCTATGTAGGCACACTGTTGGCTCATGTCAAGCTGCCATCCGCTAGTACCCTCAAGTCCTTCTGGGAGCTGTGTTCAATCCTTTCCACTTCCAGCTTGTATTGTTAGGGAGAGTTGCCATGACCCAGGTACAGACTTTTGCGCTTGGATTTACTGAACCTGATGAGGTTCTCCTGGGCTCACCACTTGAGCCCGTCTAGGTCTCTCTGAATGGCATTGTCCCTTGGGCATGTCAGTTGTGCCACACAGCTTGGTGTCATCCACAAACCACTGACAATACCACTGTCAGTGTCTTCAGTGAAGATGTTAGAGTCCCAGTACTGATCACTGAGGGACACCACATGTAATTGGTCTCCATCCAGACACTGACCACCACTATCTGTGTATGATCTCACAACCAGTTCCCTGTCCATCAAACAGTCTATCCATCGAATCCATATCTTTCCGATTTGAAGAGAGTGTCTAGATATATCAGCTGGCTTTCAGCATGCTATTGACAAGCTAGATAGAAACATAAATTTTGCTTTTCTAGTTGGAGTACTAGGGAAAGCTAGTGCCAAGATATCACTCCCTGGATATTGCCTGGAGTTCAGTAGCAAAGTCCAACTAGAGAGTCCAGATATTCATTATTCTAATATTTTGCTCAAGACTCAGTGGACTGATGTTAATATCCCTGTCTTTTTCCTTGGATGCTGAAGTTTGAGTTATGAGGCTGAGCTCTGAAGCAGGGCAAGAATAATAAAGAAAAAAAGCTGCCAAAAGAGCTGGGAGTTAGGGCCAGCAAGAAATTCAAAACTCCAAGCAAGATTTTTGGAGAATTCTTAGCATGTTTAAACATCCCAATTGGAAAATAGGAGAACATTGAATACAACTGTGTCACATTATGCTGTCAAAGTCAGGAAAGAATGCAAAGTATGATAATTGGGTCTCAGTGATTACTTGAGAAGAAGCGGAGAAATTTCAAAACGCAGTGTTTTTTCAAGCACATCAGTAGTACTGTGAATCAAAGATGATTATTTATATCACATTTTAAAATATCTAGCAAGGGAAAACTGCCTGACCTGTATAGAAGGAAGTTTGGCACAGTAAAAGTTAAAACAGAACTTTGCAGATCATCCTCTTAATGATTTGAAAACAGATTTTGAAAGAAGCTTTAGGAACTGCACATACTAATTCTGACAGCTTCTAACTATTCAAAGTATGGTATGTAAAGATTCCTCACTACAGGTGAGCGAAAAACAAGAAAGAAAATAAGTATAATTTGTCATAGACATATCTGAGAGTTTCATGCCTGTGGACTCATACACCCACTTGTGTCCTGTTTCCAGCTGCTCTTGAAATGGTAGTGTTCAATCAGACTTATTTCTCCCAGAACTCTAAAAAGAACAGAGCTACTTGTTTAGCCTGTACAAAATAAATCAATAGGAGTTGACAGGAGAGAAGCAGCTCCACCGAAAGACAAGTCAAAGAATGAGCTAATGTGATGGTTCAGCAGCAGCGCCAGAGCCTCATTAGCATTAGTTTTGTAAGCAATCCAAGCAATCCCAAGCAATCACACCGTGATTATTACAAAAGGTCCTAGACATGTTAGCCTTAGGAGACTAAAATGACTTTCTTAATGATAGCAAATCATAGTAGCCAGTTACCTGCTGTAATGCAACTCCAGCTTTGTGAAAAAAGATGTCATTATGTATGAAAATGCCTTCAAACTGCAAAACAACCTTCTTAAACTTGCTATCAATATCTTACCATATCTTCAAACAGTGTTCATTTTTTAAGCATATATTTAGCTTCACTGGTTAATACATTAAGCTATAATCATTCTTATTGGCTAAACAAATCACTGTCACTGAATTTATGCCAGTGCTTACTATCATTACTATGATAGCATGTCATTACCGACATACTGCAGCAGGGCAGATGGTCCATTAAGGAAACCCTTGTAGGACTATGTGTGGAACACATTGCCAGGTTGTTGTGACACTATAATGGTGGGTACTGTCCTTGTTCATTGGCAGACAGGTTTATGTTCTGCATGGTTATCAGCCTGATGCTTTTCTGTAAGCAGTAAAAGCAAGAGCCAAAACTCAAAGCTGAAGAAGAAGCCTTTCCATTGATGTCAGTTAGCTTTAGGCAGTTTCTACGTTCTTTTATCAAAACAAGCTTTAAAAACTTTAACCCCGAATATGCTCAGTATTAATCTCCAGAATATGAATGTATAATTGCATGACTAAGGACTTCCTTGGTTGTTCTTTCTCCTTACAGAAAGCAAGCACAGTCATGTACAAGCATATTATAGTATCTTGAACTCTGTTATTAAAGGCTGTCCGGCACGCAGTGTTTCACTGTCATCTGTTAATGCCACACCATGTATGCACAGTCACATATGTCACAGATGTGATCTGGATTAGAAAAGTGTAAGACAAATATTCCAGTTTCCTCACAAGTAGTCCACAGATTTGCATGTTCCCCTGAATGTGATTTCCTCTGGATTCTGATCCCTGTGTATTTTAAATGACCTTCTAAGAAGGAAAGTTACTACTTTATCTAGTAGTAGCTCCAGTAAACATTTAGCTTCATCAGAAGTCTGCCGCTTTTGTAATGATGACTCACAGGAACAATTTTATTCTTTGAGAACCCTCACTTAGTTGATTAGAAATTAAACTTCTTTGTCTATAACTAAAAGAAATCTAAAGCCTCAATCATACTTGACACAAAAACAGACTAATCCTTAGAAAGCAATGCGCCTTGAAAACTGTTTTGATCACTGGCCTGATTTCCTGTTCAAAGGAACCTTTTTTATGCAGAGAAATGATGTAATACTTTCATTCTACAGTTATATGATAGTACTTTCCACTTTCTTGACTTAAAAACAATTTTGTGGGCTTTTTTTCTGTTCATTACAGCTACTGTTTTTCTGGAGTTTTGGAAACGAAGGCGAGCAGTAATTGCTTATGACTGGGACTTGATAGACTGGGAAGAAGAAGAGGTTTGTATTAAAAAAATTACTCCCTAATCTTTAATACAGAAAGATTTTGTAAAATATGTAAGCACAGTTTTCTTTTGGATTTATTTAAATACATTTTTCAAAGCTTCATAGACTAGAAATTAGCATTTTTTCCTTAGATTTTTCCTCTGGAATGTGAAGAAACTTTCTCAAGGGGGGCTTCTCTTCTTTACACCTTCCAAAATCCAAAAGGAGGGAGATGAATCAGCTCAAAAGACTAAATTCATTCTCTGTTGGTAGAAGAAATTTCATTAGTTAAGAAACTAAAAAGTGAAAAACAGCCTTAAACTTTTCCTATAATAGTTACCAAGAAGGAACTGAATTGATACCTACGGAGAACAAGTGGATTTTATGATGCAGGAGATAAGCAAGTTTCAGAGGGTATGGTAGGAAAAATGCTCCTAACGTGTGATTTGAATGTACAGGTGTCCACAGAGTCTGTATTCCTTCCTCTCCGGAGTTCCCTTCAAGGGATTGTAAGAGACTAAAAATAAGCCAAGAACTTAAATAACACATCTGGAAATTGGTTTCTTCACATTAACAGGGCTATCACTATTTATTCATATAGCTGCTGAGTTCAGGAATGCTTTCATATGTTCAGAGAATACTCAGGTATAGATTTACCTCTCCTGAGATTAGCAGCCTACTCTTGCCAGTGACTGATGAGTCACAAAGAGAGCACACTGAGGCAGTCCTGCCTGAGCTTCAGATATTGAATCAGGATTGAACTGCAGTGATCTTGTCCCTCATGCCTGGCTGCAAAAACGCCACTGCTGGTGCTGCTGGCAGGTAGGACAGAAGACAGACATACCAAACTACAATTTGCAAGTTGGGATTCCAGCTCATCCCTGGAGGTGTTCAAAGCCAGTTTGGATGGGGCCCTGGGCAGCCTGGTCTAGTATTAGATATGGAGGTTGGTGGCCCTGCATGGGACAGGGGAGTTGAAGCTTGATGATCCCTGAGGTCCCTTCCAACCCAAGCCTTCTCCTGACTTAACAATCCCAGGTCCCTCAGCCCCTATCAGTGAGATGTCAGTGAAAACTGTGTCTCTGTAAGGTGAAAAATTTACATCTAAACATGCTGTTTTCTAAGAGCTAATTAGATTCCCTTTCTACATTCTGCTTAGTTATCACTGGACAAAATCAGCCAACTTTATTAGCTGTTTTATAGAAATCAATTAAACTGCTCTAATTACCATTTTAAGTCACAAGCTTCTATTAATGAAGATCGTTATTTTTATTAACATTCACTGCCATATCTAGCTTTCTCTTGTTTTAATTTTCATTGTCAAATTGAAAAATAAGGGCTTGCTGCAGAGGGAAATTTGCCAATTCCTACCAACATTAAATAGAAATTAAAAAGATTTATAGGACTTCCTATAATGTTGCCATCATATTTCTGTTCTAAAAGAAGATACAAAGAAACGAAGTAATGAAGATGACAGGAAGGAGAAGTCAAACTGCTCAGATACATGACCTTGTGAATTCCTGACCAGGTTAGCTTTTCACCCAAGGAGGGCATGCCACAACTCCAGGCATATCTGGATCCCCACCCTGGGGGCACAGGCACAATGTGCTGTGATTCTTTCAGCTCTGCACCTTTGAATTTCCTATCCTTGTAAATTAGTGCAAGGTGGGAGACACGGATAGTAGCTGGGTCTTGTCTTGAGTGTGCAACAAGAAGCCAACTGCACAGTGTGCCTCGGACCCTGAGCTGAGATATGCCTTCTGTCAGTATTCGCAGTGGAATTTTTTTTTTTCCTTCATTGCCACTTTCTGTAGATCATTAATCTCAGCCAGATACAGGACTGTCAATGAGTGTCATTAAACAGGTATGAAGGTTGCTACCAGATATTCAGTTTTGTGAGGTGATCTATCCATAAAATAGCATCTGCATGATCTGAATTGACTGTAGATTGTAGAAGATACCTAGGTTCATGAAGAGATGTATACAATAAGACTTCCTTATAGAGCAGATTGTAAAATGTAATCAAACACTGGCTTAGAGAGACCTGCGGAGAAGAAAGGGGTTTCTTGCATATGACTCATTAAGTCAGATGGAGATTCCCTGCACAGTCTACAGAATGCAATTGTCAGGTGCCCTTCTACCATGCCATCACATTGTGTCCTTTCAGATGTCCGTGGGTACACAGGAATACTACTTGTATTGTTTCTCTTGGTAGATTCTGGTCTTCTCATTGGCCTTCTGGCCTGATATGGCAGGAACAGTGTGAGCAGGAAAGAGTAAGTGTATGCTCCCTCCACAGAAAAGTATACTTTTGCGTATATCCCAAATAAGTTTTGCTATGCCAAGGTTCAGAAGCTTATTTCCTGTATGCCTCGTTGCATGCTCGTTTTCCCTAATACACAAGCAAATTTTGCTTCTGTGAGTTTAATCATAGCATTAGAGCGAGAAAAGATATATTAGCTTGTCTGGCTCAACTACTGGCTAATGTAGGGCTTGTTCCCCCAAGCATAGTTACACAGACATTGCAGCTGAGCATATGTGACTATCATCGTTATTTAAATAAAAGGTTATCCTCTTGCTGTTTGATTTTGGAAATCACATGGCTTGAGAAAATGCCTTCAGAATTTGAGACTGAGACATAGTTGGTTTGGGGGTTTTTTTGAGGAATTTTATAAAAGGAGTGTATGACTTTGAGATATCTTGTTTTTACTCACATTTTAAAGGCTTGTATGATCAGATAACATCCACCTATTTCGATGTAACCATTCGAAGTCTGCTCATTTCTAAGCTATTAGAATGAGTAATCTATAGCCATAATCATTGGCTTTCAGAAAGGCCAAGTTCAATTAAGGGCCACTGATCTGTTGGGACTGAAGGAAACCAGTGATCTGGGCTCTTACCCAAAGTCACAATGAAGAACACAGTAAAAGCTTGGCAGAAAACCTACAAAGTGAGTCAGTAGCCGCCTCTGTTGTACAGCCAGCTGTACAATGAGCCAGCACGCATCAGAGCACTGTAAAACTTAATCCAGTCTGTATAGTCTGCCAGTAGCTGTGAGTCCATCCTAGCAGCCTGGTGCTTTCCCTTGTCTCTGGCAGCATCCCTGATGCCAGACATGGAAGAGATGGCAGGGCAGTGGGGTGTCTGTACTGCAAATAGAAACCATGAGGACTTCTGTGAACTGAGGGTGAATCCTGCTCTATCCCCTAAAAAGACTGTGAACAGTTGTAAGTAAGTCTCAGACTAAGAAATCCCCAGGTTTTGTTTCAGAAGAAAGTTATTACATCAAAGCAGGACTCAAACTGCTCTGCTATTAATATTGGCCAAGTTAGGAAGGATTTCAGGAATATTGAAATGCATGGCTTCAAATAATGAGAATCTTGTGCTTGTAATGGGGACGTAACCACCTAGCAAGCAAAAATTGGATTTGGAAAAATTAGGTGTTGTTTTTTTTTCCCCTGCATTGTTGTACAATTCTGGTATCAGTAGGATAATACCAGGCAGGAAAAACCCATGATATGAACCTTGAAATAACATGGCTTGCAGCCATATAGTTTGGAAAAGCATTATTTAAACAAGTAGCCAATTGGGGAGTTTACTAAATGCTTTCAATATGGTTTTGTTGGTATAGTAATGTATTTGAGTCCTCATGACGGGTACCTGATGTCCCAGCTCAGCTTTTTTAGTAGCTGTGCCAGCTGCTGAATTCAAAGATGTAATTCTCAGTAACAGCAATATGAAAAATGATTGGAGGTTTCCTGGAGAACCTTTCCTAGCCATGCTGTGCATGAACACTTTCTGTCTGTTTTTTAGGAAGAGATACGTCCGCAGTTTGAAGCCAAGTACTCCAAGAAAGAACGAATGAACCCCATATCCGGAAAGCCAGAGCCTTATCAAGCATTTGCAGATAAATGCAGCAGACTCATCGTTTCTGCATCTGGAATATTTTTTATGGTTTGAAAACTTTTATTTATTTACCAGTTTAAAAAAACACAAAATAACATAATATCTGCTGAGAGAGTGTGGAGATACTGGTTATGACTGCTTGAAAGTTAATAAGCTTTAGCATGTTTACTGCAGGCTGAAAATCTATGCACAACAGATGTCCTGAGTTTCTGTAAAGTCCACACTAATTTACTCTTCACTGAGCCTCACAGTTAGTTAAAGCTTTCCTCCAAGGTCCAGATGTAGGAGTAATATTAAGGCTATATGCATAGATCTATATGTAACTGTACAGTTGTTGGAACAGTGATATCTCATTTAGGCATCAACTTCAGCTGACTGAATTTCACCATCCTCCCCATGTAGATACTGCAGAGTGATGGAGAGGTGCCATGAGGAGGTGGAGCCTGTTACTTGCTATCATTCATGTAACAGCTGTAGCAGTAGGATTGTCTTGAAAACACAGTTGGGATTAACTTGGACCCAGGCTGAATTTACTAGGGTTTTTCTACATGGCTAGAAAATGCCAAATGAATATAACTTGAGGAACTGTGGAGAGTCAGGTAGGTGATGCAGCCCAGAAACTGTTGCTGAAAGTACCAGAGTGCCTAGCTCTGAATTTTATGCTCCACAAGTCTTCTCTATAACAGTACTTGAATCAAGACAAAGGTTATTTTCAGTGAAGGCACTTTTAATGTTGACATAGCATGGGCTTCCAGTGAGCTAGAAAAATGCTTTTTTTTCCCCCTTTTAGGTAAAAATATCCCTTTAAAAGTTTAGCTTTAAGCACAGGAGATATATTTATCAAAACTGTTCAAACATTTCTCAAAATCTCAGAGCTTTGATGCATAGTACAGTTATAAATGCAGCCTGAACCAGATTAATGGTTCCCTGTTACCAAAGGAGAGGAAAACAACTTACCACTGTGCAGGGAGTCCTGAGGCAATCCTCTAGCTCAGTAACTCCGCAATGTTTCTATTGGCTGCCAGCGTGGAAGCAGTGGATCAAATAAACTAACCCTTCACATTCACACACACGCAACTTTTCTTTTCCTTCTGCACAGAGATTGGGTCAAATAACGTGACTTAAAAAATGCAAAAACAACTTGGTTAGTCTTCAGTATTTTCAGAGTCATTTTACCTATTCAGTTAGCTTAGATATGCTCTAGTTTTGACAGGTGTAAGTTGCTTCTGCACACCCTCAGAATGCACCGAGCTTCTTCTGAAGAAACTCTAACAAGAGAGATAACAGTACTGTGCCATCATTTGTGTGAGTCACACTTGTTATTCCCAACCCTTTGTCCTTCAGGTGCTTTGCTAAACAGTGACATGAATTGGTCATGATGGAAAACAGTTGTCACTTAGTTCTCAGTTGTTGCATATGGAACATCAAGTGATTTTGCAGCCTGGCTCAGATGCAGAGCTTTCACACTGGAACTGTCACGTTTGCTGAAAGTCTCATCAGAGAAAATTACCAGGGCAATTGAAATTCTTACTTTCCTCAGATAGACTCTTTCCAAAACTGTAGTGAGAAACAGGGGATCCTGCTAGGATTGTTTCTGAGGAACTGCTTACAACTGGAGATATATTTTTCCTGTAACTGTGAATTGCACCAAAGCACAAATTCAATCCCAAATAAGACATCATTATATTGGTACATTTGGTGGAGACTAATAATTGCACATCGTGAAACATGTAAGGAAGCATGTAAGGAAAATTCCTATTTCCCAGAGCTGAAAATACTGTTTTCCACATTAATGTTAATGAGAAGATACAATATGAAGAAAATGCTTAAAACAAAAAATATACTTTAATATGATTTTAGAGGTACTTACATTATGAAAAATTAAAAAGAATTCACAGTATTTACATTATGAAAAATTAAAAAGAATTCACAATAGGAGGAACGTTCATGTCGAAGCCTTCCTCTAGAACCAAAGTTAACATATTTTCCAAGTCTTTCTCTTCATTTCTTTAGTTCTCAGAGTTGCAGAAAGAAGTTAGTTAGAAAGAAGTTTTCAGGTTCTTCCCTCTGTTGTTTTTGTTCTTCTCTAGATCTGTGTGGTGATTGCTGCTGTTTTTGGCATTGTTATTTACCGCGTTGTGACTGTCAGCACTTTTGCTGCCTTCAAGTGGGCTTTAATCAGGAATAACTCTCAGGTTGCAACAACAGGGACTGCAGTGTGCATCAACTTTTGCATCATCATGCTACTGAATGTGGTGAGTAAAGCTAACATATCCGAAGTGAGCCACCACACTGGTTGATATCTCAGTCTGAGGAGTACACTCAAATACTTTCAAGTCCTGACTTCAGTGGGAATGGAGGTTACACAGTGCATTGCTAAGCTGGGCTGACATTTTTGTTGATGGACGTCATTCACCACTTATGTTATGTACAATTCCGAAACATTATGTAAAGCTTACTTGATTATTCTAAAAAATATCTTAGGGGCACTTGTCCATGCTCATATTTTATCCTTTGCCTTTTATTTTTAATGCTTGCAGACCTCAGTCTCTTTAATTAGTTTTCTTATTTGTAATAATTATTTCAATGTTCCTTTTTATATACAGTAGCCAAGCTTATTTCTTATTTAAACTAGTTTCTGTCATTTCAGCTTCAGTTTTCATGCTACTTTACTAGTGAGGATAGGCATGTACAGATAGAATGCTTATAAGTGGAAGGGCTGAAAAGTACGTGAGACTCAAGGAGACACAGCTTGTTCCAAGAGTTGCTTATGACCTTTACCAGGGTACTGCAGAGCTGTAGTATGGGTGCACTGGAATCTTGGTGCTGGCTGAGGTTGCCTTACTGTGGACACACAAGGTGGTTTGGAACTTGGCTTGGGACGGAGAAGAAAGTGATATTTCCACGTGGCAACAGCCCCAGTAGATTAAATGGGAAAAGACTTTCAGCATTCCATCAAGATGCAGATACTTCTGAATATTGCTGCGGTAGCAGCAGTAGCAGCCTTATATTAGTTGGTCTTAGCAAGATATATATGGCCTTTTCCTCTCAGGTTGTGTTCTTTGTAAGCTGCCATTGTAAGAATACATTTTAAGGAAAAGAAAGAATCAGCCTACAAATCTGCAGGTCCTGGATGCAGGGCAGAATTCCTCTGTGCACTCAGTGGCACGAGTTTTCTGACAAAAGCATACTAGGCTTTGCTCCATAAGATAACAATAATTTTATTCTGGACAATTTATAGAGGTGTTATTTCAGGCCTGCACATTCCTGAGTGCTGGCTTGCAAACTGTTTTCTTGCCTTTGCAATACCTAAGAATTTCATAATAAAAAAAAAAAAATTAATTTTAACAGCCCCTGTTTTATAAAGCAGGAGGTTTTGGGAAGCTTTGCTGCAGGACTTCAGTTCTCCCTTAGCATTGGCAAGGACTGGTGATTAGGACTATATTTTCCTTCAGGTGGGACAACAGGTTGAGCAAAGCCAGAAAGAAATGGTGGAAGCTGTTTTTCTCCTTGAATTTGTACTGGGGACTCTTTTCTTCTCTGCTATTTTTGATTTATTGTTTGTTGTCTGCAGCTTTTGGGGATTTTCTTTAATCTACCTAGAGCACGCAATAAGCATAGAAGAAATAAAATGAAAACTGTATACCTGTGTGTCAGTACAGCATCCATTTCTAAGCTCTCAATATAAGCCATTGTGTATGCAATGAAGCAGCAGCAAAGCAATAATGCACAAACAAAATATTTGGTTCTCAAAGAGTTCTACAGCTTAGAGAAATTATTAAAATAATGGAAGATGGCTTGAAGGTGCCTTTCGAGAAACTTTGTTTTATTTCCGAAAGTAAATAAATAGAGCACTACAAAGATGCATTGCTTAAGCCTTATGCTCATTACCATGCAATAAGCACCGCAGCCTCAGAACTGGATATGGGCTCATGGAAAGAAAAGAACCCCAGAATATGAAACTGCATTAGCTGCATTAGTAAGAGGAGATACGAACATAAACCTTCACTTCCCATGATGGATGAATGTAGTTTACTGAAGTGCAGCAGTAGGATTTCTTTAGGGGAAAAAAAAAAACAACAACAAAAAAACTCTCTTTTTTCACATCAGCATTTGGGTAGTTGACTCATATACAAACTGTGACTCAAGAAAAGCAGTAGGAAAGAAAGCTAAGACAGAGTAATGAAACCAAAATGGACCAAGATCTATATAGCAGTAGGGAACTCACTGCTATAGAGCCTGGAAAACAGCCAGTGATTCTAATGCAACTTGACAACCTCTCTAAACATCAGGGGAAAGGTCTGGACTACAGGTAACTTCTAGGCTGGAAGCTCTGGGAGCAAGATAAATGCACTGACGTATCCATTGTGACTGAATGGTCTGACCTTCAAGTGTAATGGCTTCCAGGCAGCCATGCTGCCTGACCTGGGAACAACCACTGGATTTACCTAGGTTGATAAAACTGTTAATTCCAATGATCCTGTCCGTAGGAAATATGAACAAAGAAACATGATCCTAAATGGTGCTCCATGGGACTGGTAGTGATAAACTGCAGTAGTAGATTATCTGGTCGTGAAGTTGTTAATGGAATCCCTAACAATCTTACAGTTCTATGAGGAACAATAACAGCACAGAAATTTGATATTCACATCTGCAGAGCAATGTACATTTATAAAACAGTGTAGTCCCTGCTGGGATTGGGATATAAACTACCCAGGCATTTAGCACTTCCACAGTTGCCCTTAGGAGATTATTTTAAACCCAGAAGAAACCATTTTTCTTATTACTCGAATCAAAACTATTTATACCAAAGGTACTAAAAAGCTGTTGACAACAAGAAATGGTTGTTAGCGTGGATGAGATAATTCAGGATAACTTCAGGTCTTAAGCAGTCTGATCTGTAAATTGTACATAACTCAAGTAACATTTCATAAGAATAACTGCAAATGTAATGAAATGTTGCTTATACATATTCTAGGAATAAGTACTTGAGCCTGAAGTATGAGGATTTTGGTATCCTTGTAGGCATCAGTGAGAGGTAAGGACATTTAACATGTTGCAGGAGGGCCCTATCCTCATTTAAAGCAAACTGAACTGATTGCATTAGTTTATACTGATGGTGGTGATGTATTTTATGGGTTCAGAAAATCTTTGCAAATATCAACTGTGGAAATCCTCCAAGTTAGTTTTTGTAAGCTTTATTAAATTAGCAGTCTCGCAGAGAGCTGGAGACCTTGCTTCCTGCTAACATCTGTAAGTGCCACTTAGGATTTAGAACAATGTCACTGAGATCAGCCAAGAAATGACTGACTAGATATTAGGAAGAAGATCCTGACTGTGAGGGTGGTGAGACACTGGAACAGGTTGTCCATAGAGGCTGTGGATGCTCACATCCTGGAAGCATTCAAGGCCAGGCTGGATGGAGCTTTTAGCAACCTGGTCTAGTGGGGAGTGTCCCTGCCTATAGCATGGGGGTTGGAACTAGATGATCTTAAAGGTCCCTTCCAACCCAAACCTTCTATGAGGACTACTAATGGCTTTCTGAGAAGAACTCTCTCTCCCCAGTAACTTTCATTCATCCCAGCACCAAAGAAGCACATAAATAATTAAAAATACCACAGAAAGTGAAAGAATACTCTTAGTGGGGTGTTTTTATTTGTGTGATAATGTTCCACAAATAACTAAAACAAAAACACTATTGCTCTGCTTTGTGGTTTTGAAATAATTGTTAGACTCTTTTTCACTGTGTATGTAAAATAGGAACACTGACAGCACTTTTCCTGTATGTATTGTAGATGAAAAGAACTGAATATAAGCTTGCAATTATTACTTTTCCTTGATTGATTATATAATTATGGTATTATTGTTTTATAGTTTTATTACAGTCATTATCAGAATGTGACAGGGATCAATCTGAATGCCAGATCTAACAGGTAAAAGCAATTACCTAGAAAACAGTACTATATTTTTGAGCTGTCCACATGTTTAAGAGACTGTTTTTTCTCTGTTTCAGCTGTATGAAAAGGTTGCTCTTTTCCTGACAAATTTAGGTAAGTGATGTTAAATACAAAATTGAATATTATGCTGATTTTTTTTGTACAACATTCCAACTGTCTGTATGGGAAGTCTTGATTAATTTTAAATCTATTAGGAATTAATTATTTTCTTAAGTTTATGATGAAAGAGTATTATAAACTAAGCTGTAGTGCAATTGAATTAGCAACAGTGAGAATCGCTCACCTGCAGTCCTTAGTTCTTGTTCCAGCCCCTTACCTTGTAAAAAGTTGAAGTGTTACCACAAGGACAAAAGTGTAACTGGAGTTTTCAGAGACTGAGCACTCAAAACTTTCACAGGAATCTCTTTTGGAAGCAACAGTTGTTGCTTGAAAATAAGTTGCTTAAGGACTCTCAGACATATTCCTTCAGGAGAGTCAGTAACTGGGAGGGAAAAGAACAAGGTGTCTCATCAACTTTTACCAACACTCAAACTCTAGTGGTATTCTAAGTTTAACTAACTTTTCAGATCAGCCTTAAAGACACTAGAGTAAGGCTAATGTGTTTGGTTTTACAGTCAGCACATACTAGGGTAGCAATGGTCTGTCACTGAGTCTTTGAAGATCCTCATCGCTCTGGAAGATTGCAGTTGTTGGTGGCAGTTAGCAATGGCTCCTTGGGTCAAGAAATCTGAAATGAGATGATTGCCTATTAAATCAACCAATAATAGCATGTGTATGAGAAGTTTTTTGGCATTATTTTGAACTTGGGGTTTATCTGTGTACATTGATGATGTTCAGGAGGACAGATTTCCACAGATTTCCTCAGAGGAAACAATTGATTTAAGCTAGCGTTGGGGCTTTTTAACATCTAGACAGGCATCTGTGATATATTCAAAATGTGTCTAAGGTAGAATTTTATTCTGTTGTTTCTTAGATTGAGAGTCCTTTTTTTTATATCTTGAATTCAAAATATTGCTGCCATCCTCTTTCCGTGGAAAAGACACCTACTAGTCACAGTTGAGAAAAATGACTTTCAAGTATGTAATTTGCATGGGCTATTTCCTTTTATTCCCTGTGACATCCTGTGGACAGTAAGATATAATGTAGAGACCTTGAAGCTTAATTACTTTCTGCCAGGTTCTTGTGGAGGTAGGTCTGCTTCTTGTAGCCTCTGCAGACTGCACTTATGTGAGGACTCAGTGGGTCACACTGTTCTGACCAGCCTCTATTGTGTTATTTATTTACTCTAGTGGCATGAATTTCATTTGAATGATCTTTATCAGTGTAATAAGCTCAGAGTGGAATTGAAAGGACAGTCAGGATGTTCTTCTTCAGCCATTACATCACCTTTTCTGAACTCAAATCCATGTTGCTCCAGAGTTTTGCCATTCCCTTTGAAAGTCATATGAGCAAAGCTTCAGCTGCAGCAGCCCTGTTAAAGTCAACACATGCTGGCATCAAAAATCTCTGATCTTTCATTTCCTTCTGCTTAGCTGCATATGTATGTAGTAGCATGCACAGACCTGGTGTTCTTGACAGGCATTTCCAAATCACTAGAGCAGTTGTTGATGAATAGTCTATTCCACAGTTTTGTTCAGGTGTCTGAAATTTCCTCATGGGTAGAATGTCTCCAACCAAACAGAATCTAGTTTATTTTTTTTTTATATTTATTTATTTTTTTTTTTGCTTGTAATTTAATAGAGATTCCTTTTGAAGTACATATACAGGTATTACCATTATGATACATGGTACCACCATTACTACCTCTGCTTTTCTTCTGATTACTTCTGTTCACAGCAACAGATGATTAATAAACATGCTCATGCCAACTGGAAAGCAGTTGCAGGCCATGGTACTAGTGTGTTGGCACAGTAGTTGTCTGGTTAACTCATGTCTTGATTGCTCTTAAAATGGAGATTAAGGGCCAAGCTGAAGAGAAGACATATGGTCTACCTCTTTCCTGTTTGTCTCATCCATCCTGTTTTTTCTCATTGTTCTGTGAGGAGCTCCCTGGGACAAGGAAAGTGGCTCTCTGCTGATGCCTGTACAGAGCCCTTAGGTGCCCACCGCAAGATGGGCACAACCCTGAAACAGAACCACAAAGAAGATTTACTTATTTACTTCATTTCAGTGTGACATCTCTAGCAAGAAGGTGCTTACACAGCTTGTAGCTGTGTCGTTTTGGTAGATTGCAGAGCTGGAAATGAGAGAACAGAACGAGCTTGTAAGAATACATACATTATCTTGCAGTTTCCTGGGAATATACCTATTCAGATATCAGAACAGATTTCAGAGTCTTTGCAAGCTAGCTTGCTGTGCACTTCTTTTGGATACAATTTCTACTGTCAGTTTGTACAAGAAAATCAGCAGGCTAATTTACAAACACATTGCCAGCTCAGATGGGTGTCTACATCCTTTGTGCCAAGCAAAATTGTTAATCTGATTAAACCTCTCAAACTCTGCTCTCTTTTTTCACAGAGCAGCCTCGTACAGAATCTGAGTGGGAGAACAGCTTCACATTGAAAATGTTTCTTTTTCAGTTTGTCAACCTGAACAGCTCTACCTTTTATATAGCATTCTTCCTTGGAAGGTAGGATTGATATCTGCATCCTTGTAGTCACAAAATGAAGTCGAGAGGAGTAATAAAATTGTCTCCAATTAAACAAAATGGTACTGTATTGTCACACATCCTAAAATGCAAATTTCATAGTAGCAAGGTAGGAAACATTACAGTTTTATTTTCCTTTCCAAAGCCCTGAAACAGATGTGGTTTTGATTTCCTAGCACCAGATTACCTTAACACTAACTCCTACCAATTTCACTACTGGAAACTGAGGCCATCCCCAGTAATATGTGTGCAAACCACTTTGCTCTGTCTTCATGTGGGTAATTTGTACAGTTAAGTAAATAATTTAACACTGAGCTTTTTTTTCTTTCTGAGTACTAAATACTTTGCTGCTTTGTTTTCATGAGATTTGTACTATTACCAGAGAATCAGACCTTTCTTCTGCATAAAAAGAAAAATATATGTATATATTTGTATGCCTCTTCCTGCAAGCCCCCTTCAAGCAAAAGAAAAGCCTTTTGGTAGAGATGGATAAACTATCAGTGTGGATTATTTGCATGTGGGATGTTGGGAACTGTAAGAAAATAATATTTTCCAAGTGAAAACTAATATTTTCACTGCTTTCACAGAAAGGCAGATACCACAATTTGGGTAAGAAAATGAGCTGGCATTTGAAAGCCATTTTCCAAATAGACATAAACTGTTTTACTCAGACTTTCTCTTTGATTTGCATACGTTAAGCATCAAACAGCACAGTACTTCATGTTCACATAAAACTGAAAGTAAAAATATATTTAGCCCTTCATGTAAATTATTCCAGGAGTCTCCAGATCTTTTTCTCGTGCAATGTCCTTTGTAGTTAATCATGCTAAAGTAACAATAGATTAAAACAACAGTGTAAGCTTTCTTCCACTGCTGTAAATAGACTGCTCATGCAACATCACTGATGTATATTCATATGTTACAGATTTACAGGACACCCTGGAGCCTACCTAAGGCTGATAAACCGGTGGAGACTGGAAGAGGTGGGTGCTTGCTTATTCTTGTGCTCCTGAAACAAGATACAGATTTATCTGCTGCCTACAGTTGCAGTGAATGCAAGCAGAGGCAGATGTAAAACTCTATCCAGGTATTTTTGAATGTGGTGTTGGATTTTCTGTTGTTCTCAAACTCCACAATACCAGCATTTCACCACCTGCTACTAAAACAGCTGTATATTAACACACATGCCCTTTACAATGCTAGCATTGTAGCACAGCAGTTTCAGTCTGAGCACATTTGAAGTTCTGTATCAGACAGTTTCTCCTTTATTTGTATTTTCATGTTGGAAATGTTTCATCCTTAAAATGGGTCTGTTTGATATGAACCTTACAACCTTTTATTCTGAAATTTTTCTTACTTTGCAGATGAGTGATAGAAAACCATTTTACAAATGCATGACAAATGGCAGGCAAAAAAATGCAAGTCTTTTCACTGCCAACATGAATTTACAAATAATTCCAGACATCTGAGTATTTTGGTTAATGTAAATCATCCAAAAGTAGCAAAAAATGAATAATTAGCCATCGTAATTTCGAAGCAGTGAATTCTGTACATTAAAAGTGGTAAATGGACAGACAGACTGAACATACCTTCAAAGTCTGAGAGAGACCAAGTTGACCTAACAGCTTGCTGCTGCAAAAAGTCAGTTCTACACTTACTCTGAGCCTTCCCCAGAAGCTTGCTCCTTCCTCTTCTGCACTGACTCTGGTGTTTTTCCAACCCTGTGTCAGTTTCGTGTATCAGCAGGAAACTCTTTCTTTTCCTGGTGAAATCTTTTTTTTTTTTTTTCTGTTAAGTTACTGGGCTGAATCAGCTCACAGTAGAATCAGGGCATGGGAGACACTTGCAGGAACAGAAAGGGAAGGAAGGAAGAATGAAGTTTGGGAGTGAGGTGCGGCAGTGACACGTTACAATGACATGTTATAGGTTGGGTCAGAGTAAAAAAAAAAAAATGTTTATTAAGAATTGTCTAATAAAGAAGACTTAACTTTATCAACCATATCCATAAAAAGTCATATTAGGAACAGGCTTTAGAATATAATGCCTAGATATCCCTCCAATTGCCCTCTCTTCACCTATTGGATGAAGACAAGTGCAAGACATTGGATAGCATGATATACTTCGGTCAAATTCTCCTATATATATCCAGACCACAGCATACATAGTATTTTGGTGGTGTTATGGATGTAACATCACTGCTACTTCACTTTCCTCTCTTAGGCTACATTTTCTTGTGTGACTTATCCCTAAAAATAGAAGGTTAATAATTTAATAATGATGCTAGTGAAGTTAATTAATAATAATAATTAAAAAAAATTGATCTGCTACCCTGTTAATCTAAAGAGAAGCTAAATGAGGTCAACAGAAACCTCAGAAGGAGCCCTGGCTCTGAGAACTATAATGCAGAGTATGAGTAAGAAATTCACCCTGCATTTTGCTAGATGTCATAACTAATGCCATTTTTTTCTCTTTAAAACCTAAAAAGAAATAGTTCCAGTTCTGTGGCAGCAATCTGCTTCACTTATCCATAATACCCAGGACTTAATACAGCTCAGGCTCCACTGTTTGGATCTGCAAAGTTTTTGGCACTTTTCTATTTCTTCCAATACTAAAACTAAAAATAGTGGCAACACCTAAATTGTTACTAGCTGAGCATTCTTCCTCAAGGCCTGGAGCCACAACTAAAGCAAGTAAGCACTCTGCAAGAGATGTTGAGAACTGCTAGTTGAGATTTGTAGATCTTCAAGAAGAGAATAGCTTTGAGGAGTTCACTCAGCCATACATTAAGTACTTAATAGACAATATTAGGACTAGCTCTAGGCATAAAGTCTTTGCATGTGCAGCCAGGAGGAATTTTCTCTTCATTTTTTGACTTGAGGCATAGTCAGTCCCTACTGTAATCAGTGGAGAAATCTGTTAGCTTTTGCCTCTATCTTACTCACTGCCATAAACTTATTAGCAGTTCTAGTGTGAAAATGATATTTTTTTCAGCTGAATCTGATTCCTGCAGAGAATTAGATGACAGACTTAAAGGGCTCATGGTACAATACAGTTTCATATGCTCCCATGAGTCTATCTTTAAAAAATAATCATAAAGAAAACAGCATTTCATTTCCCTTAAGTAAATTATTAAATATTAATTTATGCTTTTTAAGAAATAATTTAAACTGAGCATTACTTCTATTAAATCTTTTGTTTCTTTTTTTTCTGTAGTGCCACCCTAGTGGATGCCTTATTGATCTCTGTATGCAAATGGGTATCATAATGGTGCTAAAGCAGACTTGGAATAATTTCATGGAACTGGGCTACCCGTAAGTAAACTTAGTGCTTATGTTTTTGTAGATCACAGAATTTGTGACCAAGTTTACTGTTTCCTTATGAACTGCTACATAAAAGCAAGGTAGGTTTGCCATAAGAATAAGAAAATATCCCTTTGAGTAGGGAGCTCTTCAGTTAGATTTTCAGATAGCTGGTGCTCTGGGTTTTTGATATTAAACATAGTTTGCAAAACTGAAAGTGCAATATCGATACTAACAACTATATATGTGGGAAGTACTTAATTATATTGTATTCATTTTTTTTAAACTCTGAAAAAATATCTGTAAGACAACTGTTTGCCTTGCACAGGTAATATTATATGTACCATCTTTTATCTGTGTCAGGAAGTTCTAAATTGGATTTCTCCTTGCTGAGTGATAAAAGATGCCTGAAAGGACGGGTCTGAGCTGGGGAAAAAAAAAATAAAAATGCATTGTGGGCATATTCACTTCAGAGCCAGAAAAATGTACTGACTGGTATATAGATATGTCCCCTGGTGATCTGGGTGCTGTGGAGCTGTGCCCTAGCTAAAAAGGCTAACAATTATTCATTTCCTATTGGTTCGTTTCTCATTGATTAGTATTTAATGAGTATGACTAATAGAGACAGTTGATGCTAGAGACAGTGTGGCAGGTCATCAAGGGAAATTAGCAAGTGTGAAAACATAAGAGAGAGCTGACATTGTCAGAAAGTTTGCCCTTGTCAACTTCTGCAGCTTGGAGGGATTTGCTTCACTGCAGGATCCACAGAAGAGCTAGCTCAGAGGTTGGTCCCTGAGCTGCAGAATGTGTTACAGCAGCGATTTTAGGCAGCCTCAGCACTGATCACATCTAGCCATAATGAGAATGGGGTGAATGATTTAAATGCATGGTGTAATGGACAATCAAGGTACTCAGCATTCACTATTCATCCATCTTCCCCAGTCAGCACCTAGTGCTGCTGGTCAGGATTTTGCAGCTGAGGTTAGAAGAGGGGAGCAGTAGCAGTAGCATTGATCCTTTTTTCCACTCCCTTCCTCTTTTGTCAGTTTCCATTAGATCTTTCTCCTACTTATTAATAGGGATATTGAAACCTAATAATGAGTGTTGAAGAAGATCACAGAAGTTGACAGAAGTAAATAGGAGGAGATTGTTTAAGAACAAGTGCTATAACAAGAATAAACTGCTGTAAATCAGTCCCTCCTCTTTAGTCACAGTGCAAATCACCGTTGCAGTAATGTTCACAAGCTTAAACTCATTCTGTGGGAGAAATAGATGTTCTTCAGCTTTCACATCTCCTCTCTAGCCCTGAAATGCAGCAGCCAAGCATGTTTTGTTTCCATTTTGTATGAAAGAATGCAATCATTTCTGCAAAGAACATGATTTGGAGGCAACTCTGTAGTGCAGAACTTCCCTAGCCTTCCCCACCTCACATACAGGAGGAGATCAAGCAGCATTAGAAGCTGTTTAATAGTTTCTTGTTCAGAGCTTAACTATCTCCATGCAACGCTGCATTTTGCCTTATAAAAAGGCTTTGAAGTAATTTTATGTAGGCAAAAAGAGGTAATAAAAAGATGTCAAAATCTCCTTTTCATTTTAATAATGTGTAGACCTGAATAACAGCCCATCAGCCTTATCTGTTTTTATACCTATTATACTGTCATCAGCCTCATATATAACCAATGCTATATTTTCCTGTGCATTGGAAAATATTTTCAAGGTATGTGCACATTTAGCCTCTTCCAGTTGAGTTATGAATAGCCAATAACATTCTTTACTTTGTTTCTTTCATTTATTCAAATAGGCTAATTCAAAATTGGTGGACCAGAAGAAAACTACGGCAAGAGTATGGCACACAGAGAAAAACAAGCTTCCCACAGTGGGAAAAGGACTACAACCTGCAGCCTATGAATGCTTATGGACTGTTTGATGAATACCTAGAAATGAGTATGGCACTGACATTATTTCTCTCCCTTCAGTAGATTTTAATGTTGTTTTTTGTTGATGTGAGTCGGTGTGCTCTCTTAGAAATTGCTGTATGAAGGTAAGGAGGCTACAAAACGGTTCTCATTCTCACGGGTCAGGTGAGGAATGGGAGTGAATTTATGAGAACAAAACCAAGTCAGTGTAGCTAACCAGAGTGCTTTTGGTTTGCTAACCCCATGTTTATGAAACACTTCTGATTCTGGCTTTGTATGGGGAAGGTTGCTTTCTACATTGCAACCCTTCACCTGTGTATGTTTCTGAAATTCTTTGCTGATTTGTGCTCAAGGAAGTTCCCTTGGGTTTTTATTTAAAACTATGTGGAACAGCTTGTTTATCTGAAATCACCCTCATTTACTGCCTGTCAATGGCATTGCGGAGGAGGATAACTGTTGTAACAAATGTCAAAGAACAAAAACTTTGGCCCTGTGTGACTGAACTGTGTATATCTTGAATGTTTGGGGTTTTTTTTGTTTGCTTTTTCTCTTTTCTCTCTCACGCAATTCTTTTCAAAGTAATGCAAAATTTAGGAATCTGAAGACCTAGCTCTAGAAACTTACATAAGGTCTCAAACAACGGCCCACCAGTACTTTATGCTGTAATCTATGCAAGTATTCGGATGTCCTAATTGATGCTGCAGTAACAATGTCAATTACTTTAAAAAAAAAAAAAAAAAAATTGGTTTGTCTACCTTCAAATTTCTTTCCCAGCTAAAAATTCTAGATGTTGCACTTCATCTCAGGGATAGACATGCATCCATTTCTTCTGATCATCCTCACTCTGAACTTTCAGCAAGGAAGTTTTGCACAAAAGTCACTAGACTGGTACTAGACTGTACTGTATGGTACAGCATAGTAAGTGATGTTTGTATGTGAGATACTTCACCCTCTTAGCCCTTAAAATTAGAGCTTGACAGTTACACTGTGACCTTTCCCTTTCTTTCCTAGTTCTTCAGTTTGGATTCACAACCATTTTTGTGGCAGCTTTTCCATTGGCACCACTTCTGGCCTTACTTAACAATATTATCGAAATTAGGCTTGATGCATACAAATTTGTCACCCAGTGGAGAAGACCTTTAGCTTCAAGAGCCAAAGATATAGGTGAGTGCTTTGTTACATGTGCGTGTTATTTTTAGGACAAAATATTGACCACCACAAGTAAGAGTGGGTGAAGGAATTTTCAGTCATCTTCTGCATTAGCAACACACAATCTGACAATGCATGAAAAGCTTCAGACATTTGATGCCAGTCTGTTTATGCAATTAAAAATCTATATTGGAAAAAAAAAAAAAAAAAAAAAAAAGTTTTAAGGATTTTCTGAGTGACTTAACAGCCAAGATGTCCAGCAGTTGGACTCAATGATGCTTATGGGTCCTTCCAGCTCAGGATATTCTATGACTCTATATATTAATGAAGTGACCAGTGTCCTCTATGGGTTTTTCTTGTGGCAAGCATACTTTGAACACTGCTGCTCAGTTTGAATATAATAACCAGAGAGAGCTGCAGAAACATCAAAATGAAAGCAGCCACCATTCGGTAAGAATCCTGTGTGTTTTCTATCTACCTAGCCGAAAAGAACATCCTCTATGACTCGTGGCTGTGTCCTTAGTGCATGAGACAGGATGGGTCTAGATTCCAAGAAACAATTTACTGTCAATGAGGAAAGCCTGCGTTGCTAAACACAGGATTAACGTAACTTCGAGGTCACTTGGCCACACACTGCTGCAAGAGTTCTCTGAACTGATTCTAAAACACCCCCATCCTTGTAGTGTGCCAAAGCAAAACACCTTAAAGGAGGATGGTACAAAACAAACTTATTTGTCCAGTGCTGAATTCCTGGTGCTTGGAAAGGTGAACAGGATACCTTGCTGCCTCTCTGCACTGCAAAAAAGCATAGGCCTTAACGTGAAATAGCAGAATCCCAGACTTTATAGGGCTCTGCCATGTACCTGAGTGAAGCCTTGTGTGTGAACAGTGTGAACCCGTGAGGAGACAGTTATATAATTTCAATAATAAAAGAATTCAAAAACAGTGGGTTGTTTTTTGTTTTTTGTATTCAGGCAGAATCAGGAATGATTTCTCAAAATGAGTTGCAGTTGGTACCTATTCAGCAAAGTTTTTAGGGATAGCTTGATACCTCATTAAAATCAACAATTATGTCTAACCTGTCTTTTATGTATTTCTCAGTGATGATGCTCATCATCAGAATTGTGTGTCTGTGCCACAAGATCTTTCAGGCAGTTAAAACTGGGCTCAGAAGTCCAGGTGATGTGTAGGGGCCACGTGCCATTGTATAGCATTAGCATGGCAGGAAGATTTTGGTGCAGAGAGATACATACGGACCAGCCATACACAAGGCTCATACCAGATCTCTGCAGCATGCAGATCGTGGATTAAATATACCCATGGCTGTCCTGGATGGCTCTCCTCGAAGAGTCACAGCAAGCAAGGAGGCTCATCGCATTTCTTAAAACTGACATGATTATGGTATTTGATGGAGCCAAAGTTTCATGAGCATTTTTGAAGATGAAGCCACCCACTGGGTGACTCCAATGAGAACATAAATCTGGTCTACTGAGGTCTTGCTGCTCAATAAGAAAATGATTTTTAGTCAGTGTCTCTGATAGAAACTATATAATTTTTGAGTGATGGGACAATTGCTTCAAAGTATGCAGTATTTGAAATCTTTTGGTCCTTGATTTTTTTTCTGGAGATAACACATTTTCCTTATCATACAGGAATATGGTATGGGATTCTGGAAGGCATTGGAATTCTTTCTGTTATCACAAATGCATTTGTTATTGCCGTGACATCAGATTTCATCCCTCGACTTGTTTATGCTTACAAATATGGACCCTGTGCAGGCCAAGGAGAAGCTGGGCAAAAGTAAGCTTTTCTCTGGGAGGAAAGATATGCGTGAAAATCACATTACTTGAATAGATACAGCAGTTCTGTCTGTATATGTACCAATTCCACTAACCCAAATTTATCGCTTGTGCTTAGGCAACAGACTTCAGCCACAGACAGAGTAGGTTGCTGGACTGACTGTAATGAAGTTAACTCAAGGAAAACGTGGCAGAAATTTGGCTTGTGTAATAGTATGCTGCACAAACCACATTTCCTGGTGTACATGGGTATAGATCTCTTTTTATTCTGAAGCTATGCACATATTTATCAGTTAAAGATTTAATCAGAATTTTACATTTATTCATTAAGCTGCATTTCCTGTATTCAGCATGCATTGTTCCAAAAAGCAGCGTCTCACAGGAGAAAGCAATTCCCAACTGATAAATCAAGGCATCCTTACAGAGCAAAGCAATTTGTTTTTCATCTAAAACTAGAGTCCTTTGGTTACATCTTTCAGGAGACATTTGTGAACTGAAACCCCACTGCCTAAGTGGATTTTCTTTCAGTGTTGGTAAACACTGAGATTACATTAAGTATGAGTCTAGCTGCTACACTGCAACTTATAAAATCTCAGCTGTTGGACTGGAGGAAGGTCACTGAATCCAGCTGAACACACATGGACGCAGTTTGCAAATCTCCTGGTAGCTCTGTTAGTAAGAGCCTGCAGTTCAGAGAAACACAAGCTTAACCAGAGAGAGAATTACAGGGCTTATGTTCTGCTGTCGGACATATGGCAGATTGATTTTTCTTCCTTGCTATAGCAAATGGATTCTTCTGTTGCTGCTTTTTTTGCTCTCTTGTGTTTGCCAATACTGTTTAATCCTACTGATGGAAGAAAGGCAGCTGATGGGGCAGTTCCTGATTAGCAGTGCTGCTAATTTGCCGTTCTGCTGCTAGATTGGCATTTTAACAGGTGCCTGCAGGACTGTTCCATTTATTTTCATGAGGAGTTAAAATCTTTTTGCTGGTAAGGTGTTTGGTCTGGTGCCAGTGTTTGCTGAGCCTACGCCTCTGTTTGTGCTGTGATGAAGATCCATAGGACACTGAGGCACTGTCAGCAGTTTTCCTTGCGAGTGATTTTCTTAGAGCCAATGTGCATGGAAAAAAAAGTCCTCTTATAAATTTGATTTTTGTAATAAAATATGACTCACTGGTTTTAAAACTAGTTCAGCATAGGGGAAGTAGCTTGGCTCACTGAAGATGCACTTCTTACAAACCTCTTGTACAGCATTTTCATAACTTTGCTGCTTTTCTGGATGAATTTCTCAGATGAAATCATTCGATATTAATCCCATGGAGCAGCCAAATTTGATAAAAGCTACATACGTTATCATTCTGGATGCTGCTATTCGTAACTGTTGTTAGAAAAGACGGGAGCTATTAAAAATCCACAGGAATATTGAATTTTCTCAAATTAAATTAAGGCGTGAAAATACCTGCTATTGACTACCTTACATGAGAGAGATTCTCTTTTTCTTTCCCAAAACATCTGTAGGTATTAAATCCATATAACGCACCAGCGATACTAGAAAAATATTGAGATTAAGTTCCAAATCTAATCAACGTGGAGATCTTGAATCGTAACTAGATGGTTCTTAAATGTAACTTCTCAAATATTTTAAAATCCTTAGTTAAAAAATAATCAGCTCTTACTGTGAAGAAAACCATATAATGCTTTCTGAACTTCTGGCAAAACAACTTGAAATAATTACAGATTTAAGCTTTTTGGTTTGGTAATGCTGAAATTTAATTATAATAGTCCAACAGATGAAGCCAAAGCAGGTTTTTAAAAATGTAAGTATATCACAAAGACTGTTGGCTTCCTGCAGCAGTTCTTGGCAGGACAAAATTGATTTTCAAATATTCTCTTAAAAGCAATTTTCACACCTCAGTTGTCTGACCTCATGTTCCACATTTCAGATTCTTGTCTAAATAAACTAGAATTGTTCTTGAAATCAGAGCAGTATTATAACAGATTTAGTTCAGTGGAGGTGAGAGTTGCTTTCCCTTGTCGTTTCAGACATCCCTGTGGGTCAGAACTGCCTGGCAAAACCGTACCAATCAGGGCATTTAGAAGCTATCCTTATGGTAGCTAAATTCGTTCATCGATAACAGCTTTTTGAAAGAATTAACTATGCAGAAATTGTACTCATCTTTTAGGTTCTTATTCTTAAAGACAGTACATGGTATACCATGCAGAACAGTTTTGTGGGTGGCTAAATTTGTACGTGACCTCTTGATGCACTGCAAAATATGTTTAAATATCTTTCTCTTTAGCTCAGTTCAGCATGTATGTTAGGAGAATGAAGATAAGTTGGTTCAGTCCTTCCTTCTTCCTGACTGAAAATCTGGCAGCCTCATATAATTCTGTCAATGGTTTCTTGGTTTTAGTTTTGAAGCACTTAAAACAGATGGCCCTGATGGTGATGTGATTGGTTACTGCTAGCTGAAGTCTTTTCTTCTCAGTTAGAGAATGAATGCTTTCTTGGTGTGCCAATACTTACCCATGTTTGAGTGAAAAATGCAATGCATGTTCCCTATCCTCAACATGGTTAATACCAAGTTTGAGCCTTCTTGTGACTCCCACAGCCCTTTACTATGCAATGTACATTCTGTTACTCAGTGTTCTCCAAACTCTGCTTAACCCTCCCAACACTCCACCAGTCTGCAGTCTTCTAATACCAAATTTATCTAATTAAGTGAACATTAAAAAAAAAAAAAAAGAAGAAGAAGAAGAAGAAGTCTTATTTCCTTTAGCTGTTGTAGGTGTATTGCCTTTCCATTTTAACTTAATGTTCCTTTGTGTTTGTCACACATGAGACTGATAGTGGGTATATTCTAATTATCTCCCTGGTGCCACTCACTATTTTCCCTACCTATCTATTTTTCAGAAGTAACTAGTCCCAGTCCTCGCCATTTGTTCTCCCATAAAAATCTACCATTATTCATTGATCTGTGTCAGTGCTTCTTTCATATTGCCTCTGTATCTGTATGGGAAGTGCTGAGTCACGGCCTGAACCTCTGATTGATCACCTGAGGTGAGCCATGAGTCAGCCAGAGGAGCACAGCTGAAGGCAATTCACCTGTGCTGCCGGAAGGGGTGGAGCCAGGCTCCACTCCTCCTAGACCTATTTAAGAGCTGGCTACCAGAGGGGAAGGATCTCTTCTGGAGATCACCTCTTTTAGTATCTTCTGGTGAGCTCAACCGAAGCGTAAGCTCTTCCACTTATTCTCTTTTTGTTATCGTTGTCTGCTTTGCTTTACTCTCTTGATTATATTGTGATTATAACATCTTGATATCTATTGATTATACACAATTATATTGTGATTATAACATCTTGGTTATACAGTATCCCTTCAAAACATTACGAAGCATCACAGTTTAACTGCAAATTTCATGAAACCCTGAGAACTTCCTTCTGGGTAGAACAGTTAATAGAAGAATCTTGCTGTGTCCTGACTAAAGGAATTTTTCCCCTCTAGGTGTATGGTTGGCTATGTTAATGCCAGTTTATCAGTATTTCTGGTGTCGGACTTTGAAAACCGTTCAGAGCCTACATCAAATGGAAGTGAATTCTCTGGTTCACCATTGAAATATTGTAGGTAGGTATCTGATCAAAACACTTCTTTGCTTTAAAACACTTCAAGGGAGAAATATCCTGGTAAATTTGGAGTTAGAACTAATTTTCAAAACTTGAAAAATATTAATTGGAAAAAAAAAATGCTACTTGAGAACACACTTGTGGTAGTTCTTGGTTGTTTTCTGCATGATTACTTCCTTAGATGCAAGAGAGCTGGCAGGTGCTCCAACTACAGAATTTGTATGGTGTTATGGCTTGAATCACATGCAGTCATCGTGGAGGAATATGGTATCAAAGAGTCAATAATGAGTGACTGGTTATGTCATTGAGATGATATCTTAATCAGATTTTCTCATAAAGTCAGCTTAGGTGTGCATAGAAGTGACTGCATTCAGTTATTTCACAAGTCTGTCTGACATAAACAGAGCCTGTCCTAAGCTACCTCTACGAAACTAACAGCTGAATGGTTAACATGTTTATGTCATTGCTTGCAGGTGTAATTATTAGTAATAATCATATGCTTCTGCTTTGAATCAGAACAAAATGAGCAGTTAATCATCTTTGTATCTTTGTCATTAGCCAGCAGATTGGGAATAGCAGTCTGAGACTAGGCTGTGATGAGAGACTTACAAGTGATTAATAGTTACGGTCCAGAGAATCAAAACCTTAAATAGAGTGCAATGGAAGAACATCAAATGACAGATACTGTTGCCATTTGTCTGTGGCAATACTAGTTTACCAGCATGAGTCCTGGTGGCTACAGATACAGGTACCCCAGTATTTTTCACTGTAGAAAAATATAATTTAATTTCATGAGTCTCTCAAAAAAAAAAAAAAAAGATATTCTGGACTATAGCAAAAGTCACTGATACCTTGTGATTTTGTGGCATTTTTATTAGCAATAACTAGTTCAAGCGGTATAGCATTGTGAGTTGATTACTGCTTTTATTTACATAACTGATATTGAAGCCACTGTTCTCTGTTGAAACTTATTTTATGGAAAGAGCATCCCAATGTTGATTCCATAGATAAAGTTTTCTGAGGAGCAGAGCTGCTTTTATAATACTTCATTCCATGTAGTTTGCCATGGTACCTTTTAATAATGTTTATGGATTCTGATCAGTTTCTGCTCCCCCTTTAATTACTTTCTTCCCTAGCATCATGCATAATGTTGCTGCTACTTAAAGCTGGTGGAAGAAACCCCATCAATAAATGCATAAGTTGTCGCCTCAGTATTGCATTCCATTCTATTAGAGTTGGTGCCATAAATCTCTAGAAGTTAAATCTCTTCTTGGAGGTACACTGAACTATTATGTATATTTACCCTTGAAAGAAAGTGAGTGTCTTACTTTCTTTGGCTGAGTTTATCAGCTACCCATCAAAATTCTGCTAAAACATCAGTCACTTTAATTGCAGCGTAAACCAGCTATTGATACTGAGTAAGGAAATATTGCATCCTGCTGTAGTGTAGGCACTTTTCCAAGAAGGCAGACTGTCTGAACAAAAAACAGTGGCCATACTCAGTTAACTTCTGCTCATCCAGAACGTAGACGAGGGTTGTCAGACTGACAAAAGTGGAGATATTATGGTTTTAAAACAAGCTGTGGTAGGGAAGAAAGTACCCCTCCATGAGCATTCTACCCCACTCTGCATTCTGAGAAAGTGCCTACAGGGCCCATGTTGCGCTAAAGAAGCCACAACTGCTAGTGCTGAGCACCCGACGTGCTCTGTATTTGCAGAAAATGCATTGATTAAGAAGAGATGGGTGTGGGTTTTGTCTTCCTCATGGGCAGAAGGGTAGGAGCTTACTTACTGCAGTACTCTGCTTGTCTTTCAGGTACAGGGACTACCGAGACCCTCCTCATTCCCCAGTGCCCTACGGCTACACGCTGCAGTTCTGGCATGTCCTAGCAGCACGGCTGGCTTTCATTATTGTATTTGAGGTCAGTGACCATTTCAGTGGAAAAGTCTATATAACAAAAACACCAAAACAAAAACAGTTTCCTCTTGAAGCTTATTCATTGAGCTGTTCCATGATGCCAGCTGACAAGCTTTTCGTGTTAGTTTCTGCTATTTGTATTGTGCTTTATATTCTCCCATTTCCTGAACGGTCACAGGTATTTATATTTTAACAAACAGGGGTATACTGCAATTTGAAAGCTATAACAGTGACAGGAAAAGAGGGGAATGAAATGTTGTTTTTACTTTCTAAGTTTTGGTATTAGCACTCTATTTAGGCTGAAAGCTGTATGTAAACTAGTTAGTGAATAAGGAGGGAAGGAACATGATTAGAAAGGATGAAATCTGAACAACTGAAAAATGGAGATGGCTTAAGTTGCACATTATTTGCACATTTAGCTTTTTTTTCTCTATTTTAAATACCATTCATCTCCATTAGCATCACAAAGCTGGTGATGCTGAAAGAGACTCAATATCTTTGGCAAAGTTCATAATATTAGTGCTTACTGTCAGTATCTCAGAAATCTTTAAAACAAACCAGAGAAAACCCAGCTTTGTTTGACTGCTATTCTTATGCTGATTTTGAAAAACAGAGAGAAGAGGGTAGATAAATAAGCTGTGATGCAGCTCATAAGGTCTGAATTTCATTAAGCTGGAAACCAGGTGCTCAGCATCTCTACAGCATGAGCAGTTCCAATGCTTTTTACACTGAGAAAAAGCTAAACAGGGAATAAACAATAAAATTGCCCACTCTTTCCTCAGTCCACTTCTCTGAAATTATAGCAACAGGGCCTCCAGATATGGAAGCTGCCATCACCACTAATTATTGGCATACTGTTCAGGAGCAAATACTACATTTCTGACTCATGCTACTCTGGAGATTCATTCTGTACTGAGCTCTCAAAGCACCTCTTCACCTCACTGAACATTTGAGCTTTCGAGTTAGAAGAAAAGTGAAGGGGAAACATTTTCTAGATTATTTCTTGCCTAGGGCTGTCTTGTCAGTAGAAGTCCAAGGTCTGCAGAGAATTCCCCGATTGTAGTTTTCAGCCCTTCAACTCTAACAACCCTCCGCTAAATCCTGTCCCTGAGCACCACATCCAAATGGATTTTAAACACATCCAGGGATGGTGACTCAACCACTTCCCTGGGGAGCCTGTTCCAGTGCTTAACAACCCTTTCTGTAAAGAAGTTTTTCCTGATATCCAACCTAAACTTACCCTGGTGCAACTTGAGGCCATTTCCCCTCATCCTGTCACCAGTGAGAAGAGACCAACCCCGCTCTCACTGTAAGCACCTTTCAGGTGTTGGAAGAGAGCAGTAAGGTCTCCTCTCATCCTCCTTTTCCCCAGACTGAACATCCCCAGTTCCCTCAGTCTCTCCTCATAGGGCATATTCTCCTTCACAAGCCTTGTTGCCCTTCTTTGGACCTGCTCCAGCACCTCCATGTCCTTTCTGAACTGAGGTGCCCAAAACAGTACTCAAGGTGAGGCCTCACCAATGCATCTTCTTGTTGCTTCCTGAGCTGTTAGTGCTGAAAGCCATGGAATCCTTCTCCAAAAATGAACTACAAGAGCAGCACTGGCAGGTCAGCCTAAGGAGTTTTAAGACCAAAGAGAGCCTAGCTTTTAGACACTGGACACATGGTTTATATGTATTTGGAGATCTTCAAAAAGCCACATGGATGTGGTCCTGGGCACCCTGCTCTGGGTGTTTCTGCATGAGCCAGAGGGTGGGACCAAACAGACCCAGAAGTCCCTTCCCACCTCAGCTGTTATGTATAAAGGCAGCATGGAATAAGGACAAAAGTAACTACAGTGAGACTAATCAGTCTTGCAGAAGTTCAGTGCCCAGCTAAATACACAGTGTGTTGTGGAACAGCTTTTCAGATCTGGCCGATGCTTTCATAAGACAACTGATTTTGCTTTGCCCCAAACGAAGCTATAAGTTGGCTCACCAGTGTCTCTCTCAGCAGAGACCGATCTGTTTATTCACACTACAAAATGCTTCCTTAATTATCTGAATAAAATTATAAAAGTAACTTCAGCAGAAACTATACCTGTTTTTCACTACAGAAAAATTTTACTAGATATATTATTGTTGCCAGAGCAGTTACAGTAAAAGGTCTCTCTAGGAGATTCAAGGCAGTTTTTTCACAAATGAAGTAACCTTCCACCTCAGCTCAGACACCATTCTGGCAATGAGGAAATGGATGCAGTGATGTTTGGCTATGTTGGCCAAACAAACAAAACAAAAGTACTTCCTCTCAGTTTAAAAGAAAGTATTTGTCTGGATTAAACTGAGAGTTCAGTGGCAGTGCTTTGTGCAAAAGCTGAAGAAGCTTTTTAGTTTGTTTGTTTGTTTGTTTTAGATTAGGCAGACACACAGTAATTATGGCTATTGCAGGTTGTTTTTCTATTTTCTCATAAGGGAAGAATACATGGGAAAATGTTATATACTTTTCAGTGGGTTTAAAAGGAAGGATTCTTATTGGAGAAGAAGTATCTTTACTTCTCCAGTCTAAAATCTGTGTTTTTGCTGAGATTGGGGATTTTTATTTCTGTGCATCTCCTCTCAAGCAGAGTGTATAAATCTCCTTGCACCATCTTCAGTGAAATGAAAGAAGACAATTGAGCAGTCCTCCCCCATCACACAGTCAGCTTTGCTGGGGCTTGCCTAAAACATGAATGACAAAGGAGCACTTTATGCTTAGTAAATGACAAGATAGTTTTGGATTAGAGATGCAGATTAGAAGAAAAAATGTTTTGTTTTACATAGGTGAGTTAGTTTCCAATACTGATGCAAGAAATTTCCAGCGACAGGAAAATATTATACAACTTGATCTTCCTCCTGTGGAGCAATCCACTATTAACAGTCCCTGCCCAGACAACCCTACAGCAAAGCATGACCTCAGGGATTTGAACGCACAGGTCATACAACAGTCCTGAGGCTTTGTTTGGACTCAGCTGCTCTTGACCTTTGCTGAAATCCATAGTCCACTGCCGTCTAGTTTTTTGTTGGGGAAATCTTCACAGTTTGGTTTCTTCAGATTTAGTAATACTTCAGCAATTTAGTAATAATTCAGTTCTAACGCAGCATCTTTAGAAGGAAAGGGATTTCAGAAGGTATGGAAATAACTTATTTTCTTCCAGTAGTTTTCATTCTTCAACCATTTCTTCTTTTTGCAGCACCTTGTCTTTTGCATAAAGCACCTGATTTCCTACTTAATCCCAGATCTTCCAAAAGATCTGAGAGATCGAATGAGGAGAGAAAAATACCTGATTCAGGAAATGATGTATGAAGCGGAATTAGAACGTCTGCAAAAAGAAAGGAAGGAAAGAAAGAAGAATGGAAAATCTTATCACAATGAGTGGCCATGATGGGGTGAGAAGAAACTGCTTAAAAGAAGATAGGAGTTCTTTCTATTAAAAAAAATCCTGGTTTTCTGCGGTAGAGAGCAACAGTGAAAGAGGAACAGTCAGTGTTGTGTGCACTCAGCACATGTGTACCCATATTTAAAATGGTGAATACTGTGCTAAGTCTTTTCAAATTTGGGGTCTTACAAGGCTTAGTCTTCTCCAGAGCTAATATTGGCATGAGCAGCGCAGACCAATGCCTAAGGCTCCACACTACTTCCAGGCATGGCTTAAATTCAAGGCCGTGAACTTCAAAGCAGCTAAGTATCTTACAGTGCTTTACAGAACCTAATGATCTCATGGCTCCTCATCACGGCTGAGCAGCTAGTTCATAACCAGTGACTGCTCATTAGCAACATGATAGTTCATGTCCACATGTGTAGTCACCACATGCTGAACATGCATGGCAATGATGCTCTCTCCCATGGTGGAATAAGTGGTGGAAGCTAGCATCTACCATGATTTAACATATGGGGATTGCCTCCATAACTTGAACAATACCTTAGTATTTGTGAGGAGATCTTTGATCACGAGTCCAATCAAATGCTTTGACATGGGTTGAAAAAATTACACATGCAGAAGTTTTGGCAGATAGGCAAGCACCTAAATGTGTCCAGAGGTGTCTTAACTGTAGGGTCATTAATTTAGACACATTATTGTGAAAGGTTAGTAACTTTTGAAGATCTGAACAGTGCCTTTTCAGCTATGGGTCTGTCTGGTCTCTGAAGGAAACAAATCAAGCTAGGACACCTCATCCAAAATTGCTTGTATACTTGTATTGCAAGGCCACATCAAGGCCTAATCAAGAATGAGAATATATGATACACATAACAGAAGACTGTCTGTGTCTTAAGTAAATCAACAATAACAAAGCAAAACAAACAAACAAACAATGGATGAACAAATTCAACAAAGCAAGAGAACACGATCATCCATAATCTCTGCTCTTTTATTCCTTCTTCTGTTGTCTGCACTGGGAGAAAACAACTAGGCTGTAGTATGAAATAGCTTGAAATCTGTTGTGCACAGCAGTTCTACATAGGCTGTAGAATTAGATTTGGCCAAAATGGGCCACTGACTATATCCTTTTGCAAATTGCTTAGCATTGAGAAATTAAAAGGTTTGCAGGTCATTAGTCCAAAATAGTAGAGCTGTAACTCTAATGACTGCAGAATTGCTGGACAGAGCAACACAAATCAAAATACTGAGTGTTGTGAAAGCTCCACTGCCTCTTGCCTCAAAGTGATAATACTGCAATTCTTGCCAAACATGCAGGAGCATAATCAGCCACAACATGAAGAAGGAAGTTCAAAAGCCCAGACTGTAAGTAGACTGCAAGGAACCATATGTCTTCGTAAAGATATAGCTACATGCAAAATACTGAAGCTCATCAATTCAATTAGCACTTTTCCAAGTAATTGGAGCTTCAAAAACAGTATGCTTTTCTCAGAGCTATTAATGAATAATGCCCTTGTTAGTTTAAAGGCATTTGACAGTGAGGAAAATTCAGCACGCTGTTTCTACGAGTTGTTCTAGAAACCATTCAATAGAAGCGGCATTGGACAAATCACACAGTGCAAGATCCTTTGTATGGATGCCTCAAACTCCAGTAAACATCAGGACCACCTTTACCAAGACCTCATATTGCCAAATTAGATCTGTTAACTTTGTTCCACTGCAAGGTAGAACTGTGCTATTTCTATGAGGAGAAAAGTTTTGATAAAAAGCAGTATGGTTTGGTGGAAGAAAATGTTTGCATCCTTATCTCGGTAGCCACTGCCAGCCTACATTTTGCTTCCTTTGAATAAGGAACTCCTCTAGTACTAATCCATCTTCCTGCACAGAGGATAAATGGCTTCCACTATCAGGTGCTCGTGACCCAAGCCAGGAGTTCCTATGAGGCAATTCCTATGAGGCCACTGAAGGAGTTTCAGGGTGAATCTGTTCTCTATTGACTTGCTGCCAAAAAGAATAAGGAACACAACTAATGGTTCTGGGATATATTCCTGCCTAATAAGCAAGAAACTTGTTTGTTCATCTTTGCTTCACCTTACAGCTGCTGTGGACACAGCCTATATGGGCAGTGAAGAAATGGGAATGTTCTGTCTCAGTAAACAGAAGGAAATAGATAGGCAACATCATTCATTCTTTTATACACACATGCCAAATGAGTTAGTATTTACCATTCACCACTTAGGGATGTATATTACACTAGCAATCTGGATACTCTCAGGCAGGATCACTGTGCAAAATCTCACTCAGACCAAATTCACATGAACAACTGGATTAGGCTGCATATCCTCTGTGTTACATCTCTAACAAAAACTCACAGATGACTAATTTAGAAATTGTTTGCTAGGTAGTAAAATAAGTTGTGAGTCATACATAATATCAGTCTCACCCATATGGGTTGTGAATCTTTCAAAAATCCTGCAGTTCCCAGAACTGAATTGAAATTGAGTAGAATTTAAGCTGACTTCCACCCTGGAGCAATCGCTACAATATAGTGTGTCAAAACTAATAAAGTGCAGCAAAAACACAATACAAAATAATTGCATTTGGTACAAGTTTTCAACGTAGGTACACTGCAATGAATTTTCATGACACTTCATAGCTAGAAGTTATGTCCTGTTCTGTCCAAACTGAGCACATGAGCTGCTGTTTACCAGGCTTGTGCTGAGCGTGATGCTGAAAGGGACTCTGACCTCCCTGGCAGATCCTGAGTACATTTCTGTCACTTAATGTTGACCAGTCAATGCACTGACATTTCAGTCCTGCTGTTCTGCAGAGTAGATTTCCCTTTAGTCCTTTAAGGCTTTATAGCAGAACACTCAGGAAAGACAACCCCCTTTTTATTTGCTCCATTATTTGGGAAAATATATTACATACAATAGGCTAACAATAATACATAGAATTTAAAACAGTCTGTAGATGGAAAATTTATGCCATTCCATTCTTTCTGATCTGATGATGGATGGGTTTTGTTTAAAACTCCAGGTGACCGCCCTGTATGTTGTTTACTTATTCCAGCTCCACAAGAGCACTACCTTCAAAGGAACGAGAAAAAATGCAACCTCAATGCATGCCACAGACATTTGCCATAGCAAGCAGGACAACACACATCAAAGGATTTACTGTGAAATCATCTTGCAATCAGCATAGGAGTGATCTCTATAGACCACTTTTGACAGCAAGCATGTACTTCATGAGCAGTTACACGCCAGTTTTTAAAACCAAGGAAAAAAATGTATATTGGGACTGTTTTTCAGCCTGTTTGCTACGATTTTTGCATTCTGTCCCACATTGGTTTTATGAACCTTAGAATAATAAATGTAAACGAGCACCCTGGATACTTTGACAAAAGTAAAAGCCTAGGTATAGAGCACCATCTGTGTTCAAGCCACCAAATACTACAACTGAAACCCTGTTTACAAATCTGTTCTTTATTTTAAATCTTTCTGAGGGGAATTATGTTATTTACCATATATAATATCTATATATAAAGTATACATAGAGATTGTTTATTTGTAAATAGAAAAAAATCTTATGGAGAAGAATGTCAAGTTTTCACACTTACGTAAAAAAATCATCAACATAAAGCCATGTTTAATGCTTGTATAATGTGACGCAATAAACTTTAAAATAAATGATGCATATGAAATGTTTGCTGTTTGAAACCCACACATTATTTTCTATTTATCTTATTTGTTCAGAAAGAAAACAGACCAGCTGAGTGGAAGTAAGTGTAAATGCAGACCAAAAGGGGCCAGGATCCACTACCACCTTCGGTCTGTGAATCTACGTCATCAAATATTGCTCCTGTTGCCTTCTCAGTTCATTTTTTAATGTTTCCACTTGTTTCTCCTCTCAGCCCTCCCAGATGCTGCATGTAACTTGGGCAGTATGGAGTGCTCCCATTCCCAAGGAATTAACTGGCACTGGCTATCCTTCATTTCTTTGTTGGGTGAGTTTTTAGCTGAGAGAGATGAAGGATCGTGGTGCAGGACTGTGAGGGAGACACTGAGAATTATCTTGTTTTTACACAGGCAAAGCCCTGGCTCTGTTTGCAGCTAGACAAGGACAGTATATAGTCTCAGAGAAAGCATTATTCAAAATTAATTGTTTCAATTAGTGATGTCAATTAAAACAGCAAGCGTATAGAAAAAAAAAAAAAAAGTAAAGCAGAGTCACTTTTTAGTTCTGCAACAATCATGGGAGGTTAGATAATGAGTAAAAGGACAGTTGCCAGGGTCATCTGCAGAAAGAATGCTACCTCTAAACCTCTTACAACATGGTATTTTCCCCAGTATAAAAACTCGTCTCAATGTGACTGTGGGCCAACAGATACCATCTGGCCCAAGCTTTCACTTCATACCGAAATTAGAGTAAAATGACTGATCAGTGCTCAAAGAGTGACTTCAAGCAAAGGCTTACGTGTTTTCCCATGTGAATTCAAAGCGCCGAGAATAAACTCCATGACCCTATGTTATTTCTTAATTGTGATTGCTGGAAAGATTAGTCTTCATTCCATGAACATAACAGGTAGAAGTCACAGGTCATCCAAGGCAGCATCAATTCAAAACAAGGGTCTCAACCCAGCATGGTGCAACAAAGGGCTGTGCTGATCAGTCACCCCCGTAAGGATCATGGTCAGATGGGAGCGCAACATGTGGGCTGCGAGTGCTGTAGTCCTACCAGAAGGCACACAGGCCTTGCTGCAGGCTTCTGCTCTGCCCTTGGCTTACTACAAACCACTGAGCAGAGGCACACAGAATGACACCAGTCTTCTTAGTGTTTTGGCTCTCTGCAGCTGAGTGAAGATATCGGTACTTGTCGTTGTTCAAATCCATGGGCCAAAAGTACCTCAGCACACGAGTGGGAGACAAGGGGTCTGCTCTGGATCTTGCCAGCCTATACCTCAGGTAGCAAAGGGGAAGCCTGACTTCATCATTTGCACTGGTTGGCCAATGGAGATGTGCTCCTAGTGGCAACCATGTAGAGTATATCTGGTCTATACTCTGCTAGGAAAGGTCTGCTCCCATTTTTGCCTCCTAAAGTTTACCAATCCCATCTTATGCAGTAGATCATCAAATGCCTGCTGTCAGGGGGCACAGAACAGCTTGGGTTAAGTGCTTAAGGGCCCAAATCAGCACAGGTAAACTAGTACAATCAAATCCCATATAACAGCAGCTGAGCACCCAGCACAACTCAGTGTAACTTCTTGAAAGAGTTTAAGACACACAGTCAGTGTTTGATTTGTGTCTCAAGCGTGACTGCTTTTTAAGCTTCATTGCCTGCCTTTCCTGCAATGATTTTTATTTACCAACTTGATGCTGTGGCAGAGTTTTAAGCCCCCATCAATTGATGTCGTAAAAAATATATAGTACAAAACTGACAGTTTTTGTACTAACAGTGTACTAATAGTAGTACTAACAGTGGGTCAAACAGCCTGTTCCCCAAGCAATTAGGATAAGGGAGCTGTGGGGTTTTTATCCTCTCAAACCAGAAGTAATGTAAGGACAGATACGCTGTTCATCTCCTCTCAGCAGCGCAGCCAGAGGATGAGCCATCCCATGCCCTGCAGCCATGAAGAGACTTCATCCAGCCCTTGCAATCCCTTCCCCTCCCAGAGACAGAACAGCAGACTCTGCCCTCTAAGCAAAACACAAAACATGCTCTAGCCTGATCTGGGCCAACCTTGGAAGTGAAACTTTGGAGTGACAACAGGAACTGCAAGAACACAAGTGGTTACAGTAAGTTTCAGCTCACAGCTCCACAGATAACAGCCAACTGCAAGTGCAGTTTTTTCTCTATTCCAGTACAGCAGAGGGTTTTCTTCCTACATTAATACCTTTGTTAATACCTACACCTGTCACGGAGTTAACTAGATCAATCTATGCCCGCGACAGGGGAGGGCGGTAGGCTCCTGCCCTCCCTGCACCCCCACCCTGGCCCCACAAAATGGGAAGGAAGGAAGGGAGAAAAAAAACAGCAGCAACAATCTATGGAGGAAAACTTATTTTACTATGATATCGGAATGCAAGATAACACAATATAATACAACTTAATTGAAATTGAGACTAATAAATCAAATAA